AGCGATGATTTATTATGCTGGGCTTGCCTTAACTTAATTTTAATCCATAATGAAATCCTTTAAAATAATAATCATCATTAATCATAATAATATTCATTTCTAAAAACTATATCCCTCATAAGATTGAGTTTGTTTGATATTTCAAAATTATTTCATAAATTGCCATTGTATCAAATTAGGTTTGCTTATATATATATACTACATTAATTTAAAAAGACTCTATAATTTTATAATATCAATGGATTACATTAATTATCAAATTAACTTCTCAATTCTGTAAGCACTGATGAAAAAATAGAGATGTACATTTATAATTACAGATTTGAAGATCTGTTAATAGTTTATCTTGCAACAAAATACATTTACAATAAATTTAAAGGGATCATAAAAAAATATTTTTATTTATAAATCTTCACATATAAATTGATAGAAATAAAATATCTTAGTTACTCATTCCTTTTCCTAAAAGCTATGGAAGAGATATCTTACTATTCTTGTATTTAAAATGATTATCACAATAATAGACGAAGAAGAACCTAGTATTTTTAAAAGTGTTACATTTCTGTCAAGATAAATGGTTTCATAAATTTCATTTATAAATTCATAGGATAGTATTTAGCAGTTTATACTGTTCAGTTATAGTATAAATTTATTTACTATGAGTGAATTTAAAATGTCGATGCAGAATGAAAATGCTGTTTGCAAATATAAATAAATAAACTCATCATTAAAAATTTGAAAGCATTCAATATAAATAAAAAATCATTTTGATATTTTTTATGAAAAAACATAAATAATGAAAGAACGTTTGATGGCTTTTAGAGGAATAAATGTTGTGTTGAACATATTCACTTTTATTTTGAGAAAAGAATTCATTAATATCTAATTGAAGAATTTAAGAGATCGATTGTCAAGTGCATAAATTTTTGGAAGATACTTGGCTTCAACTTGATATTAAATTATTCAATTAGATATTCTAAATGCTTTTATAAAGGCTTATACTATAAAAATATACTAAAATCTTTCAAAAAGTTGCCAAAATAATTCTATTAGATTAATGAGATATTATTATGGATAAGTTTAAGTTGGAATTTATATTATTCCTTTTTCAACTCTTACTTTTAGGTCTTATAAATAAAATTTATATAGAGTTTATAAAAGTAATTAATCCATTAACCAAAATCATTAACCTTTTCCAGTAATATTGCAGAAATGGGAATTTTAATTTTATCCTCATTTTTGAAAATTATTTTAAATTCAACTAAATTACCATGTTTAATGTTTGAATGTTGAAATAGAATAATATTTTCTTAAGAGTTGTCGTTAAATATCCTCACTGATGTCAAAACTAAAAAATACTTAGTGTTTTTGTTCGATAGAAATTCTTTTATTAATTGTAAAATAAGTTTATTAAGAAAATATTTGGATTAATAATGATTAATTTCAGATTTTATTCTTTAAATGTTGCCAAACATATATTTTGTACATGCAAATGATGTATTGTCTTATTAATAATTGGACAATTAAAAACCAGTAAAGATATTAAGATTTAAATAAGTAGATAAATACTCTAATGTGAAATGGTTTAGTAAAAGTATTAAAATTATCATTCGCCTCTGTAATTCTTATTTAGAAAATAAAAAAGTTGATTGGGATTTAGATAAATTTTTAAATGATTTTTTTGGTAATAATTACAATCCATAACAATTAGATTGAATTAAAATATTCTATTAATTCCACACTATTGCTATGGTTTGATATTTTAGGTAATATTTAAATTTTGAGAATTTATCCTTTTCCTGAAACATGATAACTACTTAAGTTGACAATTAAAATGTATTTTTAAAGAATCTCTAAGAAAATTAACATTTTTTTTTAAAAATCGCTTAATCTATCATTTTCAATTAAATTTTGAAACATTCATTTAAAACATTAATTATCTAAAAAATGTGTCAAAGATAATAATAATCAAAAGTTTAAGTTAAGAAACCTTGAAAAGAATGTTAAGAAAATAGATTAGAAGATATTCGAAAAAAAATATCAAAAAGGAGTTTCACTTAAAAAATAATAGTGAAGGTATCTTTGTCCCAATAATAAAACATTATTATTTAATGCTTGAAATTTCATTCTCAAAAAAATGCTTGAAGTATGCTGATTGTTTAAGAAATCAAATTTTCAAAAGGATGGTTTAATACTAATTCTTTTTTTAAATATTTTATAGCTTATAAATTTTGGTTCAATTATTCTAATTAATTTGCTAAATTGTTAATTAACATAAAACCTTTTTTAAAATAAGCTTAAAAATGATTTGGATCAATAGAAACCATTTTATCAAAGCAAATTATTGCTAGTTCATATTGTGCGAATCCTATAAAAGAAGACCTAAAATCCTAATAAAGCGATAACACCTTTTCGATAAAATGCATTAAAAAAATTGGGATTCAATTGGAATGCCTGATTAAAATTATTTAATGCTTTCTCATTCTTACCTATTTCTTAATATAGTATGGCCTTACAATTCGTTTATGAAATTTTGGATTCAATAATTGTACAAGCTGCAAGAGTGATAAATGTTGGAGGATAAGTTGAAACAAACAAAATAATAATTCTATCACATAAATGAGAATAATGTTTCAATTATAAGCACATTATTGAGCAATTCCAGAATTATTAGATTTCAAAGCTGAACAATAAAAATGATTCCATTTAATTAATAATCAATAAAGGCTCTTTAGCTAGTTATACATATACTATTTGTATATTGGTATTATACATTCTTTATAATTAAATTACAATCTTCAGCGCTTGTAGGATCTCTTTACTCACATATATCAGAACATAAAGTGGTTGAAGTAGTTAAAAATGAAAATTTGATTGAAGTTTTTTCCATTTGTGAACATCCCGTTACACTGTATAATTTTAGATGTATTTTCTGAATACAATTTGGAATTGTGTTTCTTTAAGGAGCAGAAAATAGAATAGAGTCTATCTAAATAGATGCTGGTATTTGAAATTTTGAATTAAAATATCAACCAAAAGAAAAAAATTAAAAGAAATTAGATATAGTCCTCCCAATCACTACATTCTGTCTGCGTTACTTTAAATGTATAAATATTTATTTGAAGAAGGCATTTTTACTCGGTCGTTAATTCATTTATTGAAATAGTTTTTCTAAATAGTGTTCTTTGTGGATCTTTTATTCTCTGTATGATTTTAGAGTTTCTTAGGGTACTATTTTATAATTTTTTTTGAATCAAGATTCTCATTTATTCAATATATATTTGAGAATTTAAAAATTATTATCCTCTAAATTATCAATATTAGGCTATTTCTTTAAGCATTCTTATATATTAATAGTAAAAGAATATTTAAATAAATATTTAAATTTCATATGATTCTTGTCTTGTTTAAAAAATAAATTGTAATCAAGAATTCTCTTTGCTAGCATTCAAAAATCTAAGAGGCCAATTGTAATAATCTTAATCTATACTATTAGTTTCTAAAATTAGAAATAAGTTAATTTTGAATGCAATAATATACTCGAAAATTTAATTTTTTTCTATTGGATGATAACAACAGTCTAAAAAAGTAATTATATTCAATATTTGAATTGGTTTAATTGGAATTGTAACAAATCGATACTTTGAAAATTTAATTGTGTATAAATTTTGTTAACTGTAAAAATATAAATAGCAAAGCATCAAAAGTTATTAATATCTAAGGGTTATTTTTAGTTTAAAAAGAATAGGCTGATTGTTATTTATATCAACTGATATTAGAGAGCTTACGAATTTGAATATTAAACTATTTTTTTGTATCAATTAAATTTTATTTTGGAGTTTTTTAATTCTATATTCATTAAGTTTAGATTAATATAATTCAGGATAATTGATAAAATTTCAATATTAATTTTAATAGAAAATGAATATGAGATGTAATTAAGCTGATCATCAAAATCAACAAATAATAGGGTTTTGTATAAGTAGTACATGTCCAAACAAAAGACCTTATTGTAATTTTTGCTTGCCTAGCCATATTGAACATCTGAATAAATTAACATCTTTGGAACTTTCATAGGAATGGATTAAAGAAAGAATCATTAGAGTTTGGAATGTTCAAAAGATAGTTTAAGAGTGCAAGCTTACTTTAGATAGTCTTATCAATTTTTTCCTTTCTTCTAATAAATTTAATTTATAATAAATTCAAGATTTGGAAATTTCACAGATTGACAATTTAATCAAAGATTTATGTTATCTAGAAGATTGCGAAGAAAACTTATATAAACAAGTTAATGAATAAATCTAATACATAACATAGATTGGAAATGAAATTGCAAAAAAAATCAAGAATATAACAAATTTGTAGGAAAAAGATAATTTTTAAATTTTATAATAAAATTAAGAAAAACAGATTTTAGTCTAACAAAAGCATTTTAACACTTTTGAGCTAATGTATTAAAATTCAATTAAGTAAGAGGAACAATGTTGTGCTATTGCCTTTAATACAGATAATTCAATCGTAATAGCTGGATCTAAAAATAACATTAAAGTATTTTAACATATAAAAGGGAGATTGAATTAAATATCATTGTTAAGTGAACATAAAGATACTGTTTTGACTTTAAATTTCATGAATTATTCAAATAATTTCGTATCTGGTAGTAATGATCAATAGATTATAATATGGTAGATGGTGAAACAAAATAAATGGAAATGTTAATAAAAATTAAATGGACATACAAATGCTATATTTTGTCTATTGTTGAACTACTCAGATGATCTAATTATCTCAGGGGGTCTAGATAATACAATAAAATTTTGGATGAAATAGAATCGATGGGTGTGTTATTAAAACCTAACAGATCATACTCACACTGTATATTCGTTAAGTTTAAATGAAGAATAAAATAAATTAATATCTTGTTCTTATGATTAATATATATTAATAATAGAATATTCAAAATTGAATAAATAATGGAGTGTTACATAAAAAATTAAAGTAAATCAATTCGGGTAAAGATTATGTTTTATTAACGATTAATAATTTGCATTCTAACCTTTTTGTAAAGACTATTTACAGATATATGAGATGGATAGATATACTAATTAATATAAGAATATTAAGCAAATTGCTGTTAAATGTGGTACATGTAGAGATGATAATTTATTTCCATAATAATATTTGAAGTCAAAATGCCTTTTGGTGAGTAAGAATGGCATGTATATTAATTTAATAAGAAAGAAAGAAAATGGAGATTTTATACTAGAATAATCTATTCAATTTGGTACTTAGAGTAGTTTTGGAAAATTAACTGATGATGGAGAGTATCTGATCACTTGGGAGTCTGAATTAAAGGAAATGCAAATAAGAAAATATTAAGAATGATGAATATTATTATACAAAATGTATATAATATAAGTTAATTTTATTTTCAATATCATTAATATTAAACTTATAACCCTATCTGTATATATTCAAAGATATTATAATCCTTAATGTAAATACTTAAGTTTTATCTGTTATTTTAAGATTTAGTTACTATGACTATTGGTATTGGAAATGTAATATTGCATTAATCGTTTAATCAAATTGTTGGTTAAGAGCTTAAAATTTAAAGATAGCCAGAACTTACAGTAATTTAAATGGAGATTCAGATTTAGTTTCATATTTTTGATTTACTCTTCTAGATTAAATTAAATACAGTATTCTTAATTGCCATATTTAAAAGCCATCATCAATTATCGGGCACTTAAGATAAAAATATTTATGATTTACATAAATAGCATTTTGTGTAATTTATGTCTAAAAATCAGTGTTTGTTTTTAAAAAAAAGAGAAACTTAAATAAAAATGATTAATTTGATCTTTAGTCAGTAGTAAATGTTCAATTTCTACTACAATAAATGTTATTCTAATTTCTTATGATCTATTGAAATTATTTAAATAGGTTCAATTACATTTTAAACCTATGAATTTAGAAATTTAATAAATAAAAGCTAAATTTTATATCTACATATATTCAACCTCTGATATATTGAGTATTTTTAGTAATCTTTATATGTAAATGAATTTGAATTAACATCCTCATTCTAAATATACTTTATGATGAAAAATGAATAAATCAACTTTTAAAATCCAAAAACCTATTGTTCATTATAACCAAAGAGTAAAATAATCTAAATGTAAAGATTGGACCTAAATTGTAGGTTTAATTAAAAAAAAGTGGAAACTTATCAGTAATTCTCTATTAATTAATAATCATAAGGAAATAATGGATTTATATACTAATTAGAAAATCATCAAATTAAACTTTGATATGGAAATTATTTGAATTCAAGTTGAAAAATCAAAATTTTAATCAAAAAATTGAAATTATCTTAAAAGTTTATACAAAAATAAAAAATTAAACCAATGTTATGAGTCACAATTTTAATTTAATCGCCTACTCAATAATTGCCAAATATATAATTATTGCGATGGAACAAAATATGAATCTCTAAATAGCCATTTTAATAATATATCTCAATCTTATAATTTAACAAAATTGTAGTTGAATTTATTAATTACCCTTATATCACAACTGATTATTCCCTTTATCAAAATTGAGTTAAATGATCTATTTTATTCTTTTAATAGTTTAAGTAGATATTAATTTTTAAATAATTGCTTTATGGAATGAGATATGATTACTAATCTTTTAAATTGATTAAAAAGGAGTTTTGTAGTAAATTAAAGATTTTAATTGAAAATGAATTTAAAACAATCAATAAATTTCAAAATTTTGTAAATATTATGTAATTTTGATTAAATTTATTAAGATTTTTCAGCAATCTTTGAGCAAATCAAGTGATTTTATCAAAACGATGTAGGATAGTAATATTTTCTATTATCTTTGGATAATTTTACAATACGAGCTTTCTATTTTACAGTTAATAAATAATTTATTTATATGTTTAATTACCAGGTTGTTCAAAAATAAAGAAATTGAAAAATCATCTAAAATCTAAACTATGTTTTCAAATAGATCAATCAAAATTGCAAATTTAGTGAGAATTAGTAATTTAAAATAAATCAAAAGTGAATATCACCAGATATTTATTGTTATTGATGAAATCAAATCTAATTTAGTAACTGATATCATCGATATTTTCTTTAATGAACAATCAGAAAATTAAATTTTGATTTCACAAAAATAATACAAATTCAAATGGTTTAGAATTTATTAATCATATAAACTTGGTCTATTCATTAATAAAAACTATTTAAATTTAACTAGAATTAAATAGAAGGGAAAGTTTGATTATGAAAATCAATAATAAGATAATCTGATTTTAATAATGTAAGGATTTAATTATTGTAAATTCCTTCATGACAGATTAGTATATTTCATTCTTTTTATAAATAAAATAAATCTAAAATTAAGTTAAATTCAAATTAATAAAAAAATAAAATTTGTATATCAAACGCTATTCATATCAATTCACTTCTATATGAAGACTTAATTATTGAGTATCGATGATAGAATTTTAGTTCTAATGTAGCAAATATTTCTATTTTTTGTTCTTAGAGAAGATAGAAAATCTTATGATTATTTATTTAAATCTATAAATTCACTAAACTTAATTGCATTAATATCAACAGTCTAATTTTTCTATGACTCATACTAATTGAAATGAAGAAAATTCTTCATAAAAATGCTTAATACTTGGATATAAGATTCCATTTATAGGAAATTTTACCACTTACATAACACATTTTTCTTTATTAATATATTTAGGGATAATTAGATATAATTCAGAATTATAAATTTATGATAAAAATGTATATACTTTTGAATAACTTTAATAAAACGAGATATAGATAAATAGACATATTGTAGTCTATTATCTCAAAAGTTTCCTATTTAAATAACAATTAATTCTATTGTATCAATAAACAAATATAATAAGATGAGTTAAAATCTAGTTTTTATATTTAAGTATTAATAAAGGCAAAAACATCAAATGAGATAGCTTTTCTTTGGTTTAACTATTAATTTCTAAATTTTTATTGATATTTTTTCGAGATTTATACTAATTTGAAATATAAATATATATTCCCTAGTCCTAATGGTTTTCTTATTGAATGTTGAGATTCCAAATTTTACATTATTTCCCTTTATATTTCAAAGTAATCCAATTAATAGCCATTACAGTATCTTTTTTTTATGTGAATCATCTTGTATTTGATTATCAAGTAGAACATTTGCATAAAAATTTGTTCGAAGTTCTAATTGAATTATATAAATTTATATAAAAAATGTTGAATATAAGTTGTGAATGGGAATATCCTTAAAGTTAATTGTTATTCTATACAATGAATTAATCAAAAAATTCCATTTTTATTTTTAATCCCTGAATTGGACATTCACAAAAGGTGTCTGATAGAAGAATAGTGTGTCATTAAAAATTAATGAACAATTATTTGTGCACTTTTAATGTAAATTACTAAGGATGAAAGGATTAAATTGAATAGAATTATCTTCAATTTTAGTATTTATGTATTGCAATAAATAACTATTAGATTCACAATATCGAAAAAATATATATAATATAATGTTGTTGCCATTTTCATATTTTATGATATAAATAAATCTTAATATATACATGTGTAGATTAGATCAAATACAGAAATATTTATTTATAGGATTATATAATTTAAACAAACTTATATATCATCTTTATGAAAAATCAGAATAGATCATTGTTTGAGGAAGATGAATAGCAAATATGCTTTTAGATAATGATTCCATTTATAAGGGGAATATAAAAAGATTAATTATACAATTTTTAAATCTTAAAAGAATTAACAAATATCTAATATAAGAATTGGTTGGATGTAATAAATAAATTTTATTTGATTGATAATTTTGATTCATGTTCTAATAAGATGAATTCATGTTAATCTTTAATATCTCCTTTAATAAAAATCAATAATTCTAAAAAGTACATAAATAGTTATTTAATCTAATTTATAATAAAATTTATTTAAGAATTAAATCGATGAGGAATATGATATTTTTGAATTATAAACTTGAGGCATTTTATAACATTATTAATACTTTTAATATTTTCTATATTTGCTCTAGTATTTTGAAAATTATTAATAAGCATTGTTTATTCGCTTTAATAACTGTCATTTAGTATCTAGTTTTCTTTTTGGAAAATTCTAATTGAAGGAGTAAATAAAAAATGTAGCATTTCACAAATAGAAATGAATAGAATCAATTTAAAATATTTTATTCGCATTTATAAGATATATAGGTAATAAAGAGGAAAAATTTTAAATAAAATTTTGTTATAATTATCAGTAATTGTATAATAGGAGTTGAAAATAATCATATTGGACATTTTATTTAGAAATCAGAGAGATATAATTAATTAAGGAAAAAAATTATAATCTTATTAGAAATACGGATAATAAATGTTTATAATTAATTATGAATTCATATTTTAATGCAATTAAAAAAGATTTGAATATTTTTTATTTATTTATAAAAAAGTAGGAGATACCAAAAATTGGTCTTCAAATAAGAGTATTATTTTTATTTATCGAAGCCAAACTCTAATAGGTCATGAAAAGTATTGAAAATGAATCTATTGACAAATTAATAAGAAAGGTGCTTTCAAACAAATTAAAGTTTCAAAAGGAGATCGTTTAAAATCTTCTTAGCAGATTGTTTAAAATCTTCTTAGCAGATTGTCCAAAAGCCCTAAATCGAGACACTGAAAAACTTATCATTTAATTAAACAAGTATTCTATTTTTATTAATGAAGCTCAATCTTGAAATTGAATTGAACATCCTGCCAATTTTGGATAATACTTAAACAATAAAGATTTAAGACTATTTCTGTTTAATTCATTATAACATGGATCAATATTAAATGTAGAAATGTTGGACCTTAAATTTTGAGAAAACATTACAATTCAATATTGGTCCCTTTAATGAACTTAAATAATTACAAAAGAGGACTAAATATTTAATGTTTTAGTAATATCCTTATAAATGCTAATTATTATCAAAATATCTTCATCAATTATTCATAATTCGATATTAATAATGAAATTCTCTTTTTCTAAAGCTTTTCATAATTATTTTGAATTTCTTAATAAATAATCTCAAAATTGATTGAGCCTTTCTAATGATCATTCAAGAGTTGATATTCCAGAATTTTTATATGATCGTTAATATAAATCTAATTGTAAAACATCTGATAATACGATATAAATGTTATTTTAAGTGATGATAAAATACACACAAATAAAAAATTCTTTCATTTATTTTTCATATTTTCTAATTCTATTATTAATTGTTTAATTTATTTTATTCCTCTTTTTTTTTTTTACTTGATTCATTTGATGGCATTTTAATTTCAGGCTGAAAAGATTTCATAATTTTTGTAATTAAACGAAGTACAATTTATGTTGTTCATTTATTTCTATTACTTTTTTTTCATGACTATCCAAAATATATTTAACAAATTTATATTCAAATTGAATTAGAAAAGGTTTTCATATTCATTAAATAAAATGTTATTTGCAATTAATAGGATTTTCAATAAAATATATTGCTTTACCTAATTCAAATGTAAAAATAACTTAGTACAGATTAATACTTTCGATGAAATACTTTAAATAATATTTATAGTATTTTCTAATGAAATCATAAAGATTTAAAAATTCTAGAAATAGTTTTATCAAAAAATTCTGTTTGATAACCTTCCTTACAATTTCTTTGGTTAGCAATATAATTACACTATATTTTGAAAGAATAAGTTCATATTTTAATTGTTTTATCTTCAATATTGAAATGAAATATGGCTATTAAAAACACAAAATCTAATTTATTGATATAAATGAATGGTAATGGAGGAAGTAAATCTAAAAGTTAAAATGTTATTAATTAAAACTAATTACTTTACTACTTTTAATTAATAAAAAATATTAAAGATGTAAATTCTATATAGCTTATTTTCATATTGTAATTAAATAAGAAATATAGGTTGATATGAGTGAAGACTTAATATTGAATATTTATTAATTCAAACTTTTGATTTGAATAAGTTATATATTGGAATAATATAACAGTTGTCAGATGGACCTTTTTGAATTAAGTCATGAAAAATCAAGCAATATCATACCATTGGTGAAGAAATGTGTAATTTTTACTATATAATTCTTCGATATTATAAAATTATCAAATTAAAGAACAATTAAATTTAGAACAAAAATTATTTAAATAAAAACATAATTAAAAATTGAAAAATTCAATTAATAATAGATTTGTATTTTCATAAATTATAATAGTTAAAATATGATCTCTCTTATTTTATATTAAAAATAATGAAATTCACTATTCAATATATTTTTTAATTTAAATTTGATTTGATAAATCGTCCCAAGAAACAAAATATTAACCATCTGAACTAATTTCTCCGAAGACTTAATATGTCCCAAAATTTATTGTTTACATCTTTTAATATGTATTTTAATCGAATATTTTCACAAAATGAACATATCCTCCATTTTTGTTCACCAAAAGTGATTTCGATTATATAAATTAACAAGGAAAAAGAATAGTGCAAACACAACCTCCTCGTTTTAAATTTATTTTTCTTTACTTAAAATTAACAATTTATGAATTTGATTCCAGTTAATAAGTATACATAACATTACCATTAGGTTGAAAAGTAAAGAAGTCATCAAAAATAAAGCACAATCTTAATCCATATTATTCTATTTTTTAGATTACAATCCAATTATCATCAATATTTTATATAATCAATATTTTCTAATCTTAACCACATGTAATTAATTTATTTTAATCGTTATTTAAACTTAATCCATTAATATAACTAGAATGTTCAATTATACTTTATTTACAAAACCATTCTTAATTATGATTCATAACTTATAGCTTAATTGTTTTATCACAACTACCTGAAAAGAAAAAGTCTTCATTTTTGTCGATTATTAAGCAAGTAATTGAATGAATGTGATAATTCAGTGTTTATTTCTTGTACCAAAGACTATTCAAAATATTTAATTCCCATATTATTATTAAGCTATCACAGCTTCCAGATATAAATCTTTAATTAGTCTATTTCATGAAATTTAAAGTTTATATATAACCTTAATGACCAATTAGCAGTTATGTTTGTTGCAATGTTTCATAATCAAATTTAAATACTTTAATATTAAAATCAGATCCTGCAACTAGACATGAACAATTCCGATTAAACGCTAAAGCAAAACACTTTTCTTCTTATGTTATTTAGCATCCTTCCAAATTCTCATATTAAAATTGTTATTAACTATCATTTTTTTCCTACATATTTTTATTACCCATTTATTATATAATTTAAATAGTATTTATTAAAAATAATCAAGTCTTAGGATGTTCAAAAAGGAAATAATATAACTCATCCTAAACATACTTATAATTTTATTTTGAAGGCTTAATGCTCCTTTAATTTTAAATTCTTAGATTATTCGAACTATTAAAATATAATAGCAAAATCATTATTTAATAGTATTTCTAAAGATGTTCTATAAATACTACTGAGAAGGGCAATAAATTCTGAAAATGTTCCTTAAATATGAAATTATAAAATTTTGTTAGAATTAATAATTAACATATATTTACAATACTAAATTCATACCAAATAAATAATTATTAAGAGTGACTTCATATTTTTAGCTTAATTCAATAATCTTGAACATTATATGATTTATCCAAACTTCAGAATTCATGTTTAATGCAAGATTGATAATTATTAATTAATAAAAGTACTTACTAATTTCATTATTATTATTCACATTATTATTATTACAATTATGGATTTCTGGATTTATAAATTTTTAGTTCAGCTGTTTCTTCAAACCTAAATAAATGTATCTGCTTGAAATTAGAACTTAGAATTTTTAATGCATATTAATATTTTGAATTTATTGATTATAAATTTTAGTTTCTGAAATCCCTTTTGGTTTTGTTTGAAATATTGTATGATAACTAAGGTTTTTACTTCTTAATAATGGCTTCTTTAGTATAATTATCATTTTTGTTATTTCAATTGCTTTTCCTATCCTATTTATAAGTTAGATATTGTAGTTCTTTGAAAAAATATAGTATTTTTTCTTCAAATTTTTCTAAGTTAGAGTTTTTACAACCAAAAATTTGGAATTAAACATAACACTGGGCATCATTAATTTCTGAAATATCATCAAATACATTTCACAATAATATCATCCAAAATGAATCAAATTATAAGAATAATTAGGCATCCAAATAGAATATAACTCATTGCAAGCATAAATAAAAGAAGATCATTTAACTCAAAGAAAAATTCGAGTGATTATTGCTGATACTCTAAAAATTCCTAAAATATATCTTAAGAGAGAGATTTAATGAATTTAAAAGAAACTAAAAATCATTTTGAATTGTTGATGTAAATTAAACATTTTAATAATACTAAGTATGGAAATTATCATCTTATTACAAAAACCAGAACACTTATATAGATATCTTTGGAACCTAAGTCTTTTTTGCAAAGAGAGAGAGAGCTTTTTAATTTCTAATAATTTTTTGTTATTGTAGAATACAATAGGAGATTTAAAATAATCTTAATTAAGATCATGAAGAAATCATTCAATAAATTATGTGAAATTTATGATTTTATTACCTTATTGGAAGCTAGTCAATTTAAAAAAGTTAAATAAATATAATAATCATAATAGAATAAGAACTTTAGTCAATAAAATTATTCACTTTAGTTTGATTGGATTAGATTTAACTAATGTTTTAAGTATAATCTTTCTATTGATATTGTAGAATAATAGTGAGTTGAGTTCCTTTTTTAGATTAATACATAAAAGATAATTTACTTATAATAAAAAAAATAAAGAATAGTAGCTTACATTAAAGATGAAATTCCATTTTGGTTCAAAGAAAATAGATTAATTTAATATGAGAGAAATCTAAGTAATTGCAATAAATTCATGTTTTGATATGAATATAAGACTTAAGCATATTTTTTTGATGAAAACGCTTAAAATTGAAATTCTTTTTTGTTTATCATCAATAATTTAGTTTTGGTTGGATGATTAGGATACCAATTTTATGAAATCAATTAAGATTTTAAGTATATATTCTTAAAAATTACTTTTATTTTTCAAAATATTGAAATAATTTTATTGTATAATATAATACTCTTTTACATTTAAGCATATATAATTGTTTAATACAAGGACGAAATGATGAATTATTTGTTTCTGTTTTTTTGTTTTAATCTACAAGATTTATGCTATTTATCAAATTAATGAATCTTTTGGTATATTATATATTATTGTCTTGAATAGCTAGAAGTTTGATTGAAACTTAATAAATAATGAAAAGGGTAAAATTTATTTCTATATTTAGAAATAAATTTTAATTTAGTTTGAATTAAAAGAGGAATGTACATGAATTATTTTGATAATTATATTAGTTTATTATCACAGCTATATGAACTTTTAAAAAAAACTAAGAAAATTCTTGGAAAAGTTATGGCTGAACTCAGTTTTTATTGCTAATTTTATTTAAGGTATATGGTGGGTTTCTAATACTTTATGGTTAACATAGCCAATAAATTATTTTGTGTTTATTTTGCAATTGGCTTGTCTCTTAGTAAGGTGTTTTTAACAACTTCTAATCACTAAAGAATATGGATTAAAATTAGTTATTCATGTAGTGTCCTTGTTATATTATGTAACATATTTTGAATCCTTTTTACTAATTAAGAGTAATCAACATTTGTAAGTGCTCACTAATTGTTTATTATTAATATTTACTTATATGGATTATTTGAAAATAGCTATGTTAAAATATGGTTTGATCTGTAAATTAGGGATTCCTTTATATCTTATCATAAGAATCATATACACATTAATTAACGATTTTAGTTTATATGAGCTTGAAAGCTTGATTATCATAAGTTTATTATTCATAAAATATACAATTATGCTGTAAATTACATTTAATAAAATTATTGAAGAAAAAACTAATAAATATTAATTAACAATTAAAGAGGAAAGAGATTCTACACCTATACTTTAAAATTAGTAGATATTTCCATAAATTAAATCATAAAGTAAAATATCTCAATCCCCTTAACATAATTTAAGTGTATTTATTAGAGATCCACCTAGTGATATGAGATTAATACAATGTTCAAATTTGAGTAATTTTTAAAAAATAAATAAAAGTTTTGAAAAATCAGATCACTCAATGAGTTCATTTTATAACAATTTGCTTAATCTTTTTCCTTAAGGAATTTTAATTTTAAATTCTTAATTATCAGTAAGCTACATGAATAATAAATGTGAAAAGCTTTTGGATTGTTAAGGTTCAGAAAAAGTATTAGAAAAAGTGAAAGCTTGCGTAGACAATGCAAAAATTCGAGATTAATAATGGGATGAATAGAGTAGTTTCCAATCAAAATATTAATCAAAATAATTCCATTATCATCTTCTTAAAGAAATAATATGTCTATTATAGAAAAAAAGTATACCAATTGATGTCTTCGACATTATGATATAACCTTAAAAATATTAATACCTTTTCGAAACCAATTCAAATCCAATGTTTGCTGATACTTAACTAAATTTCATGTCATAAGTTTTTATATATGAATGGTTTATAAAATCTGGGTTACTCTAAAATAGTTCATAAAAAAAGCTTAAATTAATAATTATACCAACTTCAATGACTAATTAATAGTAAGAGTACTTCTAATCTTCATCATAAATTCAAAGTTGTAGTAGGGTCAACTTTCAGCCCACCAACGAAATTGAAAACCCTATTTTACTCATAATCATAAAAAATATAACGCAGAAACATAAATTCTAATAATTAAGAGATGAACAAATTATTCATCATAGTCTTATCAAATCTTTCTCTCATGAGTTAAGGACTCCATTAAATAGTTGTTAACATATGTTAAATCTACTAAAACAATAACAAAGTAAAGAAGAATTTAAGTAATGTCTTGCCATTGCTTAAAATTCAAATGCATTACTTATTCATTAAATAAATGACATTATAGATTATGCTGCTATTTAATCTTATTAATTTTCCTATCATATTTCATAATTCCCAATAAATCAAATGATTTAAGAAATTGAAAAATTATATAATGACTAAATGTTATTAAAGAGAATTTAATTTAAAATTCTTATATCAAAAAATTTAGTAAGCTTTATGATGTGCAATGATAAGCAGAGAATATTATAAATATTAGTCAATTTATTAAATAACTCTATTAAATTTACTAAAGAAGGTGGTTGCATTCATTTAAGTTTTATTGAAAAGGAATTATCTAGTATTAATATTGAAGTAAAGGATAATGGAATAGGAATTGCTGAAGAATAATTACATTTAATATAAAGTAGTTTATACAGCACTATGGAATTAGGTGCAATTTTGAAATCAAATTTTGAAATAAAAAAGAAAGGATTAGGATTGAGCATTGTAGCTAAACTTGCATAAGGATTGACTGAATCTTAAGATAATTAACTAATCATAAGATCAATCAAGAATTAAGGAACTTAAGTTTCATTTCAAGTTGATAATCTACAGTTTAATTAGAATATATATCAACAATCTTCCAATTTATTTACTTAATAAACTGGTAAGTTTAATTAATCAGAGAGATTATATACATTTAATAAAATAAAACTTGATGAAAAGGGAGTTAAATAAATGAATTATTCATCTTCTAAAGTTTAGGATGTTGAAGAAAATTAAAATCAAAATTCAGAGACTTATAAGGGCACATCTAGGTTGAATGATTTTGAAATTCAATAAGAAATCTTATTACCTATCAGTGTTGAATATTTTCCTCATAAATTTATATCATCCTGTAAAAATTTAGATCTTTCTAAAAGTTTATAATAAAAATTGATTTGCTAAAATTGTATACAAGTTTTAGTAGTTGATGATATACCATTTAATTAAATAGCTTTAAAAATGATACTTAAACATTATAACATTGAAGCAGATTCTGTTTTTGATGGATTTCAAGCAATAGAAAAAGTTAAACACAAAATGTAATAACATTGCTAAATCTATCAATTAATTTTCATGGATATCGAAATGCCTGGAATGGATGGATTTTAAACAAGTAAGCAAGTAAATTTTATTAATACCAATTAATTAGATTTTAAAATTGACATAAAAATAATCAACAATTGTTATTTGTTCTGCTTATGATACTTAAGAAAATTATATTAAAGGTTCCAAATTAGGTATAGATACATTTCTTCCAAAACCTGTCAATCAAGAAGAATTAGAAGTAATATTAAGTAAGCTATTTAATATCAAGGAGTTTATTAAATGAAACGTTATTATTTTCTGTCAATAAAAATATATATATATATTTATTTTACGATAATTAATAAACAATTAAATATAACTATTTCTATCTTATAATAATAATACCTCCTATTAAATTAAACATCGTATAAAAGATAGTCACATATGTGTAAAAAAATGGATTAATTAAATAATTGTTTTAGTTTTATAAATTTAAGTAATTAGTAAGGTGAATATAAGTATGGAATAAAATTGGAGTTAAAAAATGGAAAATAGGCAGAATCTGTGTAAATTAAGAATAAGTTCTCAGTTCAAAACTAATGCTAAGATATGAAATAAGTTTGATATACCCTTATTTAAATATGAGTACAATATTAACTAAAATAATAATATATAACTATATGTATCGCTTATCATATTTTTTTTAATTAAGAATAAGTATAATTTGTGATCTATCAATAAAACCATTATCTTTAATGATAGGACTTTTAATTAAATACAATTTTAAATAAATAAATATATAAACAGAATGGGAATAATCCTATTTTTTTTTTTGCAAATATTACTTCCTTTTTAATATTTGAAATTTTTTATAATACAAAATTTTATTTTTATTTATTATTTTATTAATGTAATAAGACTAACAAAATCAAAAGAAATGTAATTTACAATTGATTCCTTAAAATTCAATTAGAATTAAAAAATATTGTAAAGGAATGGCTATTAATAAAGAAAATTCTCTTTTATTAATAGATTCACTCTATTTTATTGCTGTTTATGCATTTAAAAATGGAAGCATAAATAAATTATAGTTACTTCAATCTCGTTCTTCAGCACATGCAACATCAACATTCTTAAATAAGAAATCCTACTTTATTTCTAGTTCATAGAATTCATTAATTTTATGGTCAACAACTCTTTTAGGAAGCTATAAATATATTAAAAAATTGGAAGAACATTAAAACACAATTTTCTGCATAGCTCTTCATCCTATTAATGAGAATCTAATATTTTCAAGCAGTTAGGACGGTGACATTAAAATTTGGTCAATTTCATCCAAAAAAAACCCATGTAAATAAACAATATCTGCCACAATAGGAAAGATTATTTAACTATTAATAAACTAAGAAGGAGATAAACTTATAGTTTTAGGGGATAATAAAAAGATATTAATACTGTAATAAAATGGTACTTAATGGGATAATAAATATCAAGTTGAATATAATTAGGAAATAAATAAAATTTGCTTCATGAATAATAATAGTTTTTGTTTTTCTTCAAAATAAATGGTTTTATTTTCTCATTTAGCCTAAAATCTATAAATATCTTACATATAAGAAGAAACAATCAATTTTTATTTTTCAGAAAATCTACTAATCAATGAATGCATACATTTTTTCAAATCAGACACTTTTCCATTTTTTTATGATTAAAACAAGTAGGTTCTCTTGATAGTTGGTGTTTGTAATCTTTATATAATCAAATATCAAAATATTGAATCAGGAAAATTAATTATAGATTAAGTGATAAAATATAGAGATGTACAATAAAGTTCAAGTTTTATTATAGCATTTATGAGTAAAGATGGAAAATATTTAATGATTTCTGACTTAAAATCATTTTAAATTGATATTTTTGAGTTATAAGATCTTTATTGAAATAATCAAAAAATTATTAATAATATATTAACAAATTTGGATCTAAATATTTTATATGTAATTAATATAAAGATTTAACAAAATTTTCTTAATGAAGTTTTAATTATTATTTTATTTCTTAAAATATATCAATTATAGAAAGATTAAACAAATTTAAAGGAAAATAGAAAATTAATATATAAATTAAGATATATTTCTTATTTAACTCAAATTTTCTCTAAAATTCTTATTTTGGTTTAATTGGTATTATCTCATGTTGTTAAATACTTATACTCTTACTTTAAAAGGACTCTTTTAGATACATAAGAGTTTTATTTTGATCATTTTCGTTAAATAATAAAGAAATATTACAAACACCAATTCTATTACCCCATTATTCAACTGATTTCTTCTCTTTCACATATCAAGAGCATTCCATAATCAAAATAAAGCCATCTATACATAATACAATTAAGTCATCTGACTTTCATTAAACATTATTTAATCTTAGAGTTTCAAAACAATTTAGTACTGAATTTTAGGATTAGCCATTAAATTTATAGACCAGATATAAATTTTAGCAGTCTTTCTTCCAGAAAATAGCATGATTATAAGAAAAAATAGTTAAGTATTCGGACTTAATTAAGATGTATATAGATATATTGTGATTATTTCCAACATCCATAATCTTAATAAATTAATAACTAAGAGGGTATTTTTAGAATTTATAGATAAGACAAGACCAGATCTCTATTTCTTTATCTCAATTGATATTTTGAAAATTAATTAATTAATTATTTTTCTGTTTTTAAATTATTGTAATCATTTAATAATAAATCTTAAAATATTTCAAATAGTCTTAATATTTTCATTATTAATTTAATAGTATAATGAGGAATATATCTTTTAAGAAATGTGATAAATCTTTTTAAATATATTACTCATCAATGTAAATAAATACTAATATAATATTTATATTATATTTAATTATGTCTCATTTATATTATAATTCATATGATGTATATCCTCCTTTATGATCATCCCAAAATAATAAATATTTTCCATCATCTGTGATAGTTCCAAAGATCCATTTGGTACTACAATCTAATTCGTTTTGGATGATAAACTTTCCATTGATATCTTTAATGATATATATAATATTTTTAGATCTAATAAATATTATATTTTTGTCTTTCAAATAAATTATTGGAAATAAAGCACATCCAAGATTCTTATTAAAATTATGTAATTAGATTCTATTATCAATATCTTCATTAAATATACCATCTTTGAAATCAAATACACAAATGCAATTTAAATCTTTACTATAAGGTATCCAAATAAATTTATTATTTTTGATAAATTTGATATGACAACCTGAACAATTCATAACTTAAGTAAATACTTACTTAAAATAAAATTTATCACCTTATCCATATTCCCATACTATTATTTATTAATCATCTCCACTTGAAACTAATATATTTTCACATTCATTCAAACTCATAGCACGAATACATTTAGTATGTTTTTCTAGTTAATACATATATGTTAATTCATTTTAATTGAAATCTAATTTCCAAACTATAATTTTTTAATCTTCTCCTGCAGAATATAATTGATTTTCTTAGTTATTAATAATCATGGTTCCAATCCATCCTTTATGTTCTTTATAATGTTATGATGCTTTCCATTCATTTTATTTAATTTATTTCCAACAAATAATTGTTTTATCATTTGAACTTGAAATAAAACTATCCTATTTTTTACTATATAGTAAACAATAAATGTAATTAGTATGTCCTTATAAAGTTGATTAATAATTAAGTTTGCCATCAATTATATTCCATACTTTAATATCAAAATTACACATGGATACCATTTAAGTTCCAGATTTATTGAAAGCTATAGCATAACATTTACTCTTTTATTTTATATTGTCATCTATTAATTATAGATTAATCTAACTTTCTGATACTAATTAATTAGTATTCAATTATTCTAATTAAGATTATTAATTATTTTATTAAGATACTTTTTATGGCTAAATCTCTTCTTATTTAACTTGGATTGTTTAATTTAAATTCTATAATATTTCCTAACACTTTTAGTATACTCTAAATGAGCTAAATTATTCCAATTTTTCATTTATTTTTATATTCCAAAAATTATTCACTTTATTGATTTCATCTACTAATAAAGATTTATCAATTGAATTTTCTAATTTTTTAGAAATTAAATTTTCTAATTCTTTATGAAAACTGTATTAAGAATACTCATGTCCAACACTTAATAAATTTTTAATCCATCCTCCACTATATCCAATTATTTCATCTAATTAAAACACTATGGTTGACTTTAATTTATTAATATTTCCTAATAAATCTTCAATTTACTTTATATTAAATTAAATAGTCTTCTCTATTGTTTATACTTTCAACTTTTAATTTTTCTTAATTTATTTTGTGACTAATTCATATCCCATCGTTGAAAATTGAGTAGTAAAGTTCTTAATACAATCTGAACATAAAAGTCGTTAATTTAATTCTAATTTTGGATCCAGAACAACCATTAGAATAGGCAACTTGTGTTTATTAGCACATTTTAGATCCTTTTCTTTTTCTATCATAGAAGATTTAAACATTTGTTAAAATAAATTATCCTGAAAATAATTTGGAAATTATTATTTTTATATTGATAAATATTAATTAATATCAAGAATATACATTATTTTTTTTATTGATATTAATAATATCAACAGTATTTTCATTTTTTTAAAGGAGAATAAATTTGTATAAAATCAACTATTAAGAATTGAAATTCCATTTTTTTCTCTTGATTTTACTTTATTCTTTTTTTATTGGAGATTTCTATTTTCTTAATCTCTTAAATCCCATAAGGAACTTAATCATAATGTCTCATGGAGTCAGTTATATAGATAAAGCAATTGAGAGTTAAGCTCAGAATATTTCATTATGATGACCATTAAGTATATATTTACAATACAAAATGATTATCTTTCTTAGCCAGTATTAAATAGAACTATCGCCACTACTCAGATAATTAAGTCTTATCTATATTTCATAATAACTCTAACTCTGGCAATTCAATATGGCATTGCAAAATTGATTTGCGATTCCATAATTGTGTTTTACAGTCATTAATCACATATTCTAAGACTTTTTGGATTCATTCAAAATAGTCAAAATTTAGATGTATATAGCTCTAAGATCTTATTTAATAGATTCTAACTTAAGATATCAATAAAATTCAGTAATTAAATATTTGAGAATTCAAACCAATCTTATCTCGGTTCAATTAAAACTAGTTTGATTATTTAATTATTGATTGATTTTGTCTATTGTTTTTTGGAAATTTAATGTTAAATAATATATTTTTAGAAAATAATGTTTCATTTTTATATTAGTTTATCTTAAACCAAATTAAAAAATAATTCTATCATACTTATATTTTCTTCTTTTTTTATTAAATTATGAAAATACTTTTTATTTAGTATTCTATAATCCATAATTATCATATAATAAAAATTATTATTTTATTATTCACAAAACATTAAAAAAATTAAATATTATATCTTCTTTCTTTCCTTGAATTATCAATAAAGATATCATTTCAATTTATTAATATTTATAAGTTTCCCATATCTGAGACCAGAAAAGAGAATATTTTTGGGAGTACTTATAGATATTTTTATATTATTTACATATATTAACCAGTTAAATATTAAACATAAAATAAATGTTTTTAATACTCCTCCTTTAACAATCTACCCAAGTAACTATCTTGATTTCAGACCAATATAAGACAGATATGAAGGAATTTATAAAAAACAAAAGGTTGAATATTGGTGTATTTAATCCAAATATACAATAAATAGGAACTAAATTATGATTATTTACTAACTAAATAATCTAATTTTTTTCTTGTTTAATAGTAAAACAGATACTGAAGATTAGGTCGATTGTTTAATTTATGATAAATTATTACTACAACTAATATTCATATTATAAAATATTGATATAAATATTAAAATAAAATTATCTTATACATAAGATTCCATGATTATGATCGTTAAATGGATTATTATTAAAAAATCATAAAAATGTCAAAAAAAATATTTATTTTATATAATTTTTGAATTTAATAATAATTATATTTTTGGAAATAATTATATAAGCCATTATGTTATAATCTTATTTTGTTAATGTGAGTCAAAATAGAACAGAATATTTAATTATTTTAGTCATAAATATATATAAACTATTTAGAAATAATGAATGAATAATAATTTTCTGATAATAGGTTTGCATGTATGATTCAAACATTAACATATAAAAACTTTAGCAAATTACAAGATTTATATTTAATACAATATTTAATGTCATATTCAGTATCTTAGAATAATTAAATGATAAAGTAACATAGTAAATATTTAGAAGAAGAAAATATTGCTGATTTCATCCTGCTTAAAAAATAATAATAATATTAAAAATCACTCAATCTCCATTTATTCACTTGTTTTATAATTTTTCTAGACTAATTCATAGAATTTCTTATTAAGGATTTAGATCATCTCACACACATAGTCTTAATAGAACTACATTAAGTAAATTTAAGAGCCAGAAAGTAAGTAACTATCTAGCTCCTCTTCAAATTTCTCAAATTCTTCGTTCAGTTTGGCATCATGCAAAGTCAAATGCAAGAGACTTCCATTGATTTCCATATTAACATTTTTTTCCAAGTTAGTCTAAATCTATCTAGGTAACCTTTATTAGATTTATATTTGATTTCAGATTACTTCTGAACAACCTTTCTTTTTCACTCAATCGAAAAAGTTCATTTCTTATTTAACTTTACTTTAACCCTCTCATATTGTAGATCATTAGCTATTTATAGTAGCTGCATTTAAGTGAAGGGATTCTGATTATATTTGTGTTCCCTTTTGAATCTCCGCAATTGATGGATGCCTGAAATAAAATTATTTCCATAATTTATTTATTTCTTCATTTGGTATATAGGCAATCTCAGAGTCTTCTTTATGGAAGTTCTTTATAGCATTTACCATTTTTTCATAAGCAGCAAAAAAATATTATTAAAAGATTCTTGTTTGTCCAAATCAATTTTCAAAAATTGCCAAGCTAAAGAATTTATTTTTCTAATTACATTTCTATAATTTATTAAAAGGAGGAGAATTGTTTGACCCTCTTAATTCAATGAGCACCAAGCTAGCGAATGGTTACACCAATAAAGATTACATTGCATAAAGTAAATATTCAATTCTTTTACTTTAAAGAGCTGAATTAATATCTTAAATTAAACAAATTATAATCCTATTGGTATTGATTTTTCAGTGATCTGAATAATTGATAGAGATGATGTGAATAAATAAACAGATTCACATTCCATTTAATAAATGATGAGCAAGTAATTTTTAGAACTAATTGTACCCATAATGCAGTTGGATTCTACTCTCCTCTCAACAATCTCAAACTTATGTTGTCCTTTTTCGACAAAGCATTTATTAATTTGTTAATGTTTCCAAAAATTATTTCATAAATTTTACAAATTTTTATTGATTATCTTAATTATACTTCCCAAATTTTTTTGTTTTATTTTACATTTTAGTCATTAATTAGTATATTCTTTATCACCAAATCTCGAAAGTTAATAAATTTTAAAATTTAGATCATAATTTAATTTATTGATAAACTGTAGTAAAATATATTGAATTTATAGCAGATATTTACATATAATATATAAAAATATCTGCTGAATTATCATGAATTAATTAATTCAAACCTTCGATGTTAAGATGTAATAAAGATATAAATTTTGAAAAATCAATTAAGTAATGAACCATTTATTAAAATAGAACATCTTTATCTTAAATTCAGTATTCTCATTTTTCATAATCACAACTTATTATTTATTTTTTAATATTTTTTCAATCATTTAATCAAATTTATAATCAATAAATAAGATATTATTGAATTTTTGAATAGTTTTATATATCTTTCAACCTGCTTAATTGAATTACTTTTTTCTTATCTATTTGGTATCTAGAATATGTCTTATTAAAAATTAGTTACAGAAGAGAATATATTGAATGATATAAAAATTAAATTTCATAAATCATTATGATTATTCATAATCATTTTTATTTATTTAGAATCCTTATAAATGCTGAAAATGATATTCTCTCTCTTATTTAATTTTCTCTTTAATTTTCTTTTACAAATAACTATCATAAGTTCTCTTGAGTTATGAAAATAAATCTATACTCAAATTAGAAGCCATGATAGTAGAAAACATGGCAATATGAATCCAACCAATCATGATAAAATTATCTTAACTAAATTCAAAACTATAAGCTAAAAATGTTCCTGAAATAACCATTAATAAAAACTCTCTACATATAAGCTTGGAAAGTTCAAATATAGATTTTAATGGTTTAAATTTGATTAAATAAATTAAGAATAATAATGATTGGATAGAAAGCAATATTGATTATACTTCTGGATAGTTTCTTAATTTTACAATAATTAATATATAAAATAAGATTCTGTAAATTTAAAAAGACTTAAATTAAGTGGCCCAAAATTCAGTTTTTGTCTCATTATAAAAATATTTCCATTTCTATTAATTTTTTATTGTAGCTGTAGTAATTTAAAGCAAATTTAAATTAGATATTAAAATTATCATTAATCCAAAAATTGCATTAATACTGTTAAATGATGTAAAAAATGAATCAAATTTATAATTGGGAAATTATAAAATTGTACTAAACATAAATTAATGAAGAATAGCAAAATAAACCTTAAATATTCCAATTGAAAAATATTCTTTTTTATCCTTTAAGCACTTTTTCTATATCTTTCGTTAAAATATATTTATAAATTTCATGATTTTTGAATTTTATTTATATTTTGAGAAGAGTTTTTAAATAAAATTTTCTAACTTTTAAGATGTTATTTAGCAATAAATTAGGTAAGTTAGTGCAGATGAAAATATGGAAAAATAACAACTTTTAGCATTGAACAAATAAGGTTATTTGAAAATTGTGTTGGGTTCATCTTTTTATTTTTTTATTTCTTGATTTGATGTACTTCCTCCATTTAATTTATTCAATAATTAATCAACCTATAATTAATCAAAAATAGGTTGCATTGAGACTTTAGTGTAAGTGTTTAAAAAATAATTCAAATGTGGTGGAAATTAACATTACATATATCTCACATAAGATAATGACTATAATAGTTCTAATAAATTAAAAAACATAATTGCATTTCCTGTTATCAAAGCCAAACTTGATACTCCAGCCATAGAATACATCATAACATCATTTAATTAAACGATAGATATTAATTATTATTTAGTTTATTCAGAGAGTATAAATGGAGTACCAAGATTAAGAGTTTTGTAATTATTCTATAAGCTTAATTCATATTGATTAAATATAGTATTTTTCTGTATGTCAACTTGTAAAATAGGAGTTTATACAGGTTCAAAAAATTCAATTTAAATTTAATATATAGGATTGTTTAAGGTAATAGTTAAATTTGAAATGTTATTTGTTTTTAATTGATATCGAGTTGATGGTATTATTGTAAATATCATGATATCTTCTAAATTTAGAGCATCATTCAATTTCACTTATTAGGTGAAAGTTAATTCTACAATTTAAATTTATTTAGTATTTTCAGATAGAATATTCAAATTAAATTCAGGAGCTATAATAAATGTACATAAACTTAATGAGTCTTATTAATTTATACATTGATAAGAATCTTCTATTTAGCATAAATTAGAACATCCATCTCCTCCATAATTATTTCCATCATCACATTCTTCATATTAATTGATTATTATCCCATTTCCACATTGATTAATACATACATGATCAATTAACAATTGATTTTCTCCACATCTTAAATTTGTTTAATAAGCCAGTTACATTTAAATTAATTCTTCCTAATCATAATCATTTTAATTTTATATCAAACATTTTGCTGTTTAAATATCCAATTTATATAAATAATCACATTTCTTACATTACTCTTATTAACATTCAATACAGCCTTCTGAACATTAAAATAAACACTAATAGCAACCATCAAATGGTTTATCATTTCCATCATCACATTCCTCATATGGATCAATGACTATACCATCTCCACATTAAGTAATGCAAATATTATATTAATTAAGAACCCATCCTGGTTTTATGCAAGCTTAACAAATCCCATTTTCACATACAGTACATTATTCTTCACATGAAAATTTGCATTAATAACATCCATCATATGGAATCAGATTCCCATCATCACATTCTTCAGTACCTAATACTAATTAATCTCCACATATTGTAGTGCATCTATTAATATTAAGTTCCCATCCTTCAACATTACACTCTCTACATTATCCTTTTTCATATAAAGAACATTGTTCTTAAAGATGAAGCTAGCAATAATTACATCCATCATCATCATTTTCATTTCCATCATCACATTATTCATTACCTAAAATTAGTTAATCTCCACAAATAGGTTAACAGTTTCTATTAAGAACACTCAATTGCCATCCTATTGAAATACATTAAAAACATTCTCCATTAACACATGCTGTACATTATTCTTAACATAATAATTTACAATTTATGCATATTTATTCAGAAATGAAATTATCATTATCACATTATTCATCATGTGATACAATTCCATCTCCACAAATACTATAACAAGTATTTTTTTATTAATCTAAGTAATAACCAATTTAACATTTAGTACAAATACCACTTTCACAAGTATGACAATAGTAATTACATGAAAATTAACATAAATGACATCCATCATATGGAATTTAATTCCCATCATCACATTATTCATTTTTTGATAATTATCCATCTCCACATAATGATATACATTAATTATTATAAGGATCTAATTAATTTGATTCCATATTACATTTTATACATTAACCTTGATAACAATTCTCACAATCTCTAGGACAATCAAAATAACCATTAAAACAACCATCTTCTGCGATTAAATTTATATCATCACATTGTTCATCACCTGTAATTTATCCATCATTCAAAATTTCAATGCATTTCCCAATTTAATTTTTATATCCATCTTAACATTTGATACATTCTCCAAATTTGCATATAATACATGATTCCTAACATTAATATTTGGAAATATAACAACCATCATACATTATTGAATTATAATCATCACATTATTCATCACCTACAACTAAAGAATCTCCTATATATGGTTAACATTTCTTATCTAAATTTATAAGCCATCCTATCTAGCATTTTAGACAATCTCCTTTGTAACAAATTAAACAAGAGTCTTAACAATTATATTTACATTAAAAACAGTTTTCATCTATATAGTCATCACATTCTTCATAATATTATACAGTAATTCCATCTCCACAGATTGTTTCACATTTATTTTATAGATCATCCAATCTCCATCCCTTAGTATTACATTCTAAACACCCATTTGAAGTACATAAAGTACATGATTATTAACAACTGAATTAACATTAATAGCATCCATCTTCTAATTAGTTATTTCCATCTTCACAAACTTTTTATTAATTTACTTATAATACACTATCTCCACAAATTTTAACACATTAAAATAATGAGTAATCCCATTTATAACCTTATATACAAGATATACAAACTCCTTTATGACATGATTAACAATTGATATCACATTCAATTTAACATTATTTGCAAAGACTATCAGGATCATTATCATCACATTCTTCATTTTCAAGAACTAGTATATTGTCTCCACAAATACTCTTGCAAGATCCATCTTATTATAAATACCAACCACTTAATTCATTGCATTATTAACAAATACCATATTAGCAATCTAAGCAATTGATTGAGCATTAAAATTAGCAATTGTAACAACCATCAAATGGTACTTGATTTCCATCTTCACATTATTCAGAAAATACTAATAGTTCATCCTAACATTTTGGAATACATATGTTCTTTATTAATCGATAACCTTTTTAACACATTACACACAAAGAATTGACACAAGTATGACAAAATTGATTACAAGAAAATTAGCATTAATGACATCCATCTAATGGGTTATAATTTGCATCATCACACATTTCTGTTAATTTAGTAACAATTCCATCCCCACAAATGGAATTACATGTTCCATCAATTTACATGTACCATCCTCTATCCTCATCACATTAAACACAACTTCCAAAATGACAATCTATACAGTTAGGAGAGCATTCATATTAACAATTAATGCAATTTATTTTTTCTTCATTACATTGTTAAAGTAATGTAATTGTATTTCCTAAGCAAATAGAACGGCAGTCATTATTATAAACTTCATATCCACTTTTACATTAATAACACTTTCCATTTAAGCATATATCACATGCAAAATTACAACTAAATTTACAATTATGACAACCATCAAATGGATTATTATTTCCATCATCGCAATCTTCTTCTTGTACTATTATTAAATCTCCACATATAGGAATACATGGTAAATTTATTCCATCATCATAATATCCAGGCAAACATAAACATTAATGTCTATGAATACCTCTATGATAATCTCTTACACAAGTAATACAATCCTATTATGAATTACCATAGCAATTTTCACAATATTTATTGCATTATATACAAGTATTTCCCTATTAAAATGTAAATGGATTGCATAAACAAATTCCATTACTCAAATAAAATTAATTATTAACACATTCAGTGCAATCTTCTAAACTTTTACATTCACTACATCCAGGTTAATTACAATCTTTGCAACTATAAGTTTCAGTAGTTGAATTAAAATCCAAAAATTAATTACTTCCACAATTTGAACCAGCATAACCTACATCTTAACACTCAGTTAAACTTGTACAGCTAGAACAAAAAGGAGGACACTAGATTATAATAATACATTTTATACATAATGAATAACAATGAAATATTCAGAAATTGCACAAAATTCTTTTGTAATATTTGCAATATCAACATCGCATTTAAATTCAATATAAAGATTGTTTGTATAAAAGTTTGTTAGACTTACATTAAAATATCGAATGCTTTCAAGACCAGTACGACCAATTAAATTATATCCTCCACCTGGATTACTAAAAGGTCCTTACCATGAACTGCTTGGAGAATCACCTATCAAATATGAAAATGTTCCAGTGTAACCATCTCCATAAGTTAAATTAAAATATATAGATACTGCATAATGAGGTTTTTAAATAACCCATGTTTTGATATATGAACCATCATTCCATACTAATAAACCACCCAAAACTATTTTATTATTTAAAAAAGAAAATTTTTATTTTGTTGATAAATTAAAGGATGGATCTGTTGTAGTATCATAAAATGTTTGTATTTCTTCAAGTGTCATATTTAAATCATAAAATCCTTTTGCTAAGTATCTAGAATCTACAAATAAATTAATAATATTATACATGGAATGATATCTTCATAGTCAATACAATTTGACGAATGAATGGGACAAAATGGAACACATTTATTTTTATATAATTTATATGTTGAATCACACAATGCACAAGTTGAGAAATCTGAACATACTAAGCAATGTTCTTAACAAAATCCTGTGTCTATTGTTATATTTTTAAATCCCCAAGATTCACTTTCTTATTGAAGTGATCCCTTAATTAAAAGAGTTGTATTAGGATTATTGAGTTAAAAAGTCGTCTCTATCCTTAACAAAGTATAACTCATACTATAACAAATTTGATTCCTCTAAAAAATTTTCAACATATTTTCAACTTAGAAACTCGATAAAGACTTAATTATTCTAGATTGAATTTAATTATTTTGTAAGATTTCAATGTTGCTTGTCTCTTAAAAGTTAAACAAATAAAATGTAATACGAATTCTTAAAAATTTAACAGCATTTTCGAGATTCATTTAATATAGCATTCCTTCATTAAATTACAATTGTCCAATAAAATCAATTCCAAGGCAATCCTCATTTATTAAATCTGTATTTTTTGAATTAAATTCATCTTTTACAAATATAAAAGGAAAATATCTTTGATTTGATTGAGGGATGCTGTTATCTTTGAATAAAGTAAATTTTGATTATATTCTATTATCATTCACACATATTTTATCATAACGTGCTATAGAATAATCTCTACTGCATTCTTGCCTACAACCTATATATGTTTCAGAAAATTGTTCATCAGAAATGCAAAAACATTTCCCACTTTATACACTTTAATTGTTAAAACATGATAAACAATCTGTTTCATTAGGACCATTACAAGTTAAACAAGTTGGATGACAAGTATTAACATATATCAATAAATTTTTAATCCCTACCTACATAATACTAGTTTCAGGAGAAAAACAAAATTTAATTGTAAATTCGTCAGTGTTAGAATAGGCAATAGTACTTACAATTGTATAGAATTCAAAAAGGTTTTAACTACTTTGACATATTTGAGCACTGTTCTAAATTAAATCATTTTCTAAATAATCTCTTCTATATAGTAGCTAATCAGTTTCTGAGACTTTATTGCTTTTATAATTAACTATTAAGTTTGAAATATCAATATCTGCACCATCAAAATAAACATCAAATATAATTTGAGCTTAAAAACTCTAATAATTAAATGATTTCAATAAATATCGTCCATTTTGGTTTAAACTCAAAAACTAACGTGAATTTTCACTGCAAGTTGAGTATTAAAATATAACTTCAAATGGAAATAAACAGCTTTGATATATTTTCCAATTATTGCTTACCATTTGCATGTCTGTAAAACTCTAATCAATGAGTCTCCAGCTAGCTAAAACTTGATTTATAAGAATTATCAAATAACCACTAGTGATATAATGAAAAAACATAAAATGATGCTATGATGTAAATAAAAATTCAAATTAAAAGTCTTATTAATGCGTATTCATTTGAATCTACATCATAATTATGACTAAAATATTAATTTCGATATCAAAATCATGCTTGATTGTTCAGAATAGTTTTAAATTCCAAATTCTATGTCTTCTTGCCAACATAATACATTTACAAATAATAAAAATATATTTTGAAAATTCTCCAAATCCATGATTAAATTTTATAATGTTAAAATTCATTTCAATAATTTCTCCATATTATTCTTTATATAATACTACATTATACTAATTTGCAACTATTTCTGGATAAAGCAAATTTTTACTAAAATTTTGATATTTTCTCTATTAAATTTTATAATCTAATTTTTACCTAAAAATAATAGAAAGAAAAATATATTTCCACAAGTTGCTTTTTAGATTTATAATATTTCTAATAATAAATAAATAAAAGACTAGAATCAATAAATACTTCCAATTAGAATATATTTATATATAATATCAATAATAAAGTATTATATTAAATTATTTAATTAAAAGAAAAATGAAACTATAATTCTTTTTTTTCTTTAACTAAATGGATTATATAAAAATAAAATTGTATTAAAAATTACTTCATTGTTTATAAAAGAAAACATAAATATAATGAATTATAATAGACAAAGAGAACTATTACACTAGCTAATGACCAGGATTATAATTATCATCAAATTTATCTATTATCAGCATGGATCAAAAATAAAATTTGATTGTAAAAATATTTGAGTTTGAATATGCTTAATTAAAATAAAATTATAATACTTATAATATTTCCTAATATAATTTAGTTGATAATAATTACTATTTTAGAATAAATGATTTTCTTCTTAATCTAAAATAAGGTTTTTTATCACATTCTAAATTTTGTATATATTGTAAATAAATTCAACATTTAATTATCTTATATTTAATATTCAAAATATCGACAATTATTTAAACTTATAAAATTTTAGTTTTTTTCTTTGACAACTTCATACTCTAAATATTTTAAGCTAAAACGATTTTTCTAAATTTTCTATCTGTTCTAAGGTTCTTTATAGAAATATTTTTATGTTATCAAAATCTGATTTCCTCATAAACTTTATTCAACTAGTCTTAAATTTCATATTACATATTTGATTTAGTCAATCAAAAAAAATTATAATATTTGATATGTATAATCATTAAATAAGTATAAAATATAAATAACAATTTATTTATTAAATAAATTTTATATATTATTATGCTGTTAGTTCATCAATATTATAGTTATGTTTTTTTATTCGGTTAGACCAAAAGTTGATTAAATGACCATACATTTATCAATTTTCCTAAAATATTTGATGGTCTTATCAAATAATACTAATACTAATTTTGTTAACTTAACTCATTGTCTAGAACCACTTTCTAATCCAAAATAATTTAGAAAAAGGAAAGGTTCGATTTATTTTCTATATAATAACACTTCCTTTATTTTTTTAATAGTTTTAATCCAAAATTGGTTACTAAATGTAAAATTTATGAATAAATATTGCTTTATCAAAAAAGTAAGTTTGATGGTTTTTGAATATTGGATTTTTGTGATTGAATATTTATTGAACTAATATAATTACAAAATAAAATGTAATATTTTTAATAATTTATAAATATTCACTCCAACCTTTATCCAGTTAATAACATCGACTAGCCTTGGATATCTGTGCTTAGTAATTTTTGTTGATAGTTATGGATTGAATTAATAGTGGTTTGAATAGCACTAAATATATTTAAAATAGATACGGTCTATTTTTAATTTATATTTTTGAAACAATCAAAAGGAACCTTCTTAATTTTAAGAAATTATCTTTGATTCTTTGTTCTTTTTTACATTTTTCCTATAATATTACTTCGAATTTTTTTGATACATATTACAATCTGAAGTATTTGAAAATTGAATATAAAGATTTCAAAATCAATAGTTTATATTTTTTTTAGTATATCTTTACTATGCTATCAATAAATGGAAATGTGATCATTACAAACAATACCATTAAACAAATTTAAAGAGCTAGGGATATAACTATATTATTTAATTATTCACTTTCATATTTTATAGCAGACAAAAATATAGATACTGAACAAATTTAACCTGTTTACAAATCAAATTTATTAAATTTTGTAATAATGTAAGGCTTTTTCTTAATCGCTAATAATTGATAAATAATCAGACTCAATCCAATTAAAGATGCTTTCAAATGTATTTTTGTCTCAAAATATGTCAAAATTAGGATCATAATAGCTCTTTTACTCAATTTTATTTATTCCCAATAATAACTCTCTTTTTCATATTCATTATAAAGATAACATATGTGAGGTCTAAAGATATAATTATCTAATCCATTTCTATGAAAATACATTAATAAAAATAATGAGAGAGGAATCAAACAGCCAAAAATAATTAATCCAGGAAGAACTAAATAAACAATCCATTAATGATGAGTTTCTGTATTAAATTTTAAGGTTAAATCTCCTGATATATATTAAATAGTAGATATTTCTCTATATGAAACCAAAGAGCATAACCTAATTTAATATAAATAGTGTACATTTTGATAAATCCTGCATAATTAAATATATATAAACAAAGTAAAGTATTTGATATGATATTTAATTTAAATTTTGATTTAATGATAATTGAAAATATAATCAATCCAAAAATTATAATCATAAATTACATTAAAATCAATATCAAAATGAGGATTATTTTTGAATATATTAATTAAATATCTACTATTTCAGATAAATAACAATCTAAATTATTAGCCATTGAATAAGATTAATTACTAGCTTAATCAACAAAATTGAACTAAAAAGAAAAGCTAATATTTAATGTGAATATCACTGAAAAGATCCATAAATAATTTATAAGCATTTTTATTAGAATACCTTCAAGATCTACAATATTTAAATAGTATACCTTAATTTAATTTAAAAAGAATTTAATTAAAACTTCCTTATATTTTATATAATAAGAATAGATCATTTGATTTTCCAATACTTTTTAAAGTAAGAATTATTGAAAGTATGGCCCTAATATTAATTATAAATTTTACCAGGCTGTATTTAAAATAAAAGGAATAATGCTATTTTGAATTCCAAAACAAAGAAAACATTCAGAATTTTATTAATTTTTTATGAATTTTCCATTTCCTTTAACATTATAAATATCGCATTCTTCACACAAGGCACCAACATGTCCTTCACTACAAATTGCATCTCCAACATTCCAACCTCCTAAGCAAAACTTAGTTCTTTTAAAACATAAAGTAGACTAATCTGATAAATAATTTGGTCTCCAATAACCTTCTAGTAACTTAATTTGATTTGAAGTTATCTCCTAAAATTTCTCTTTATCAAATATAGAACATTTAATTGAATCATATGTTACAGAATAAAATCCTTAATTTGATTCACATATTTAACATCTATTATCAACATAGAATTCTCCAAGTTAGCATTTATAACTTTTGGCTTAGATTATGTATTTTAAAGGATTTTTATATTCTTAATTTTAACAAATAATACTTATATCTAAATACTTGTAATCTTTATTATATGGATCAATTGTAAAAGAAATGGAACTCAAATCAAAATTATTTTTTTCATAATTATAAAATAATTATAAATTTTGGCTATTTCCATCAATTTATTCTTCGTTCCTTTTCACAATCTTTTCATTTATAAAGCAAGTTGAATTAATAAGGTTTTTCTGTTATTCATTTAAATTATTTTTAAATATCAGTTCTATCTACTTAATCTGTTTATAGCTTTATGATAATTTTGGAATAGAAAGTTAGAAATCCTAAATTGTTTGGCCACTAGGAATCTTTAAATAAGAAGTTTTTATTTTAACTTCTTATTCTATTGTGAAATAAGGAAAAATCCTTAAAATATTTGTTTAAGTTTATTCAGATTTGAATTTATCTACTTGCATTTCTAAGGAATTTATAAATAATGATAAATGTGTAGGACTTTCAACTAAATTATTAGCATAATCATAAGCTTAATTAAAAAGCAAATATGTTTAATTAAAATTATTTTGATTTAAATTACTGTTTCCACTAAAATATATTCCTCCACCTTCTTTTGCTTGATTCAAAATAATAATCGAATTTAGAATGAAAAATTAATTACTATTAAGTTGTAAATAAATGCCTCCTCCTCTAATGATGGCTTTGTTTTATATTATTTTACAATATTTGATAATAATTGGACTATTTGATGAGATTGCAATACCTTAACTTCCACTATTTTAAATAAAATTAGAGCTTAATAATTGAATTGGTAAAGATTTTTAATTTTCATCTAAAATTCTTAAGCATCCATATTATTTTATAATATTGAAATTACAATTTAGTTCTTATATTTTGATCTTGTAGAAAGTTAGTAAATTAAATAAAATCAATCCATTATTGCAATGTTTACAATCATTTTTTAATATTTCTAATTGATTAAAATAGAAAGAATGCTTTTTAGATAGACTTTAAATATAAATTAATGAAGGCAAAGTTTATGTATGTTTTTCCATTGTATTAAGAATCTCATCTAAAAAATAAAATGGTTAATTTTCTGATCCTTTTGTTGTTTAATTAGCAATTACAACACATAAATTAAATAGAAAATTGAAGTCTGATAATATTATCTTTTGAAGACCTGCTTGATATGTTGAACTATTGAAAATATTAATTTAATGCAAAACTACCTTAGATTCAATATCTATCATTTAATTAATAATTATCAAATTAAAAGCGAAAAATCTTTATAAATATTTGATTTATAGTTTTGAGAGTTTTAATTTTGGTGCATTTACAATATTCAAAATTGGTGATAAATATAGACCTTCTAAACTAATATTAATTATTGATATTGAACAACTTTCAATATAAAATAATGAATTTTAGCTACTTGAAATATCTAATAGTTCTGTAAAACTTATATTTCCCATTTAAGAAAATAATGATATCCATGAATCTTTATTTTATGTTATTATAATATTATGTATTTCTAAATTATTTTTATCAATGATTTTGTTGGAGAATTACACTATAAGTATTTGATTCATTAAAGATAGACAATCATAAATCTATATATCAATTAAACTAATCATATTTGAAATCTTAGATGGTTATATCGATAAAATAGATGATGACATTCTATTAAATATATTCTTAAACTCAGATTGTTAAATTTTAATATCTAAAAGACTATTTTAAGAGTTGATGCTAATACAACCTGAACTATTAGATACTTATTTTAAATCACTTATTATATCATTAGCCATTATTTATATTAGTTTTATTATACCAAAATCTACTGTATTAATTTCAAAAATGGCACTCTTAGATGCTAGAATATTAGAAAATTTGCAATTTAAACAAGTAAACATGGATGCTGTTATTTAACCTACTCCTCCTATATTTGTTATATTAAAAGTTTAAAAAGCAAATTGATTGATTTGTTATTAATTAAGGAATTAATCTAATTTTACACCATAAAACCTTTCCCATAATTAATAGGTTAATACATTGTGATTAGAAATTTGTAAATTTTACATAATTAATATTTTTGAATTGATATAAACAAAAGAATTAGATGAATTTATAAATGCATTTTGTTCAGACAAAAAATTAGAGATTTAAATATTGCTCGATTTAATATTAAAGAAAAGTAAAGAAGCATAAGATTATAAAAATCTCTCAGCTAAAGAGTGAAAACAATTTTCCAAAAATTTAATTCTATTTAATTGAACATCAATACTCCATTCTGTATTGAGAGCTAAAAGTGAAAAGGATCTAGGGGATTCTTTAAATATTTATAAATTTCCAATAAAAGTAAGATTAGTAATTTCTAATTATGAAAAATTAATAAATTCTTTTTTCTATTATAAATCAATAAAAGATTAATCAATAGTAAATTAATTGATAATTTAAACAGAAATAATATTTAAAGTATAAAAATTCTCTATTTTTATTAATTGGTTTTTTTCATTAATTTTTTTTTGACAATAATGTGAAAATGGCAATTAATAAATTTAAGCAGAATTTTCATAAATTATATTTGAAAATATTATATCATTACTTTCAAATATGTTAAAAACGAGTATATTTTTAAGGTTACGAAAAATCAAATCCTTAATCTTTAATTTAAAACATCTAATTTTAAAGAGATATTATTTATTATCTGAATTATTAACACTTATTATTTCGTTAAACACTAAATTACTTATCACTAAATCAACTTGGCAAGATTCTTAATTAGTTTATACTTTCAAAAATTTAGAATTCTATAATTAATTATCTTAAGCCTCAAATTAATCTATAAGTACAAAAATTGATATATTTTCATTCTTTTCAATTATAAAAATAAATTGTGATTCTTAAAACTAGTTTTTTATGATTTAAATATGTGAAAATGATAAATTATAATTAGAAGTAAAAAAATTAGATGACATTAATATATTCTATTGAAATTAAAAGTTAATTATGGAAAGTGAAACATAATTGTTACAATTTAAAAGACTTGAGTTTAAAAAATTACTCTACTTAATTGTAACATTATCAAAATCTAATTTACTTAATTGTTAAATATTGGAATCAATAAAATAAATATAGGAATTTTTGAATGAACATTCTTCTATAAGAAGATGTTTAACAGACAAAACAACTTTATTATTGATAAATTAAAAGATATTTGAATTATAAAAAGTACAATTTCGAATAGTAAAGTTTTCTATGATTACAATTCCTTAAATATAGAAATCTGTTAAATTAAAAAATGAAGAATTTTGAAATTCTATGTTCTATAATTAAACATTTATCATTTTCACATCACCAAATATTTAACTTTAAAAGATAGATTTAGTATCTTTTATTTAAGTATCCAAAAAACTAACATTAAATAAATGTAATTCAGTCTTTGCATTATTATTTTAAATGTAAAAATAAAAGGTAAAGATGTTTCTAAAAATAATTTAGTTAATCTCCAATTTATCAATATTATTCAAAGTAATTATATTAGTCATTTATAATATCATACCTTTTCTGCAACTCAAAATGAAATGAATGAATTTAAGTGAAAAGATCTTTGTTTTAAGTAAACTATCAATTTAAAAGTTAGGCAATACACATATTTCCTAAAAACTAGTATAAATAAATTAAATAATCAAACTATCAATGCCCAATTTATTGAAATACTCAATATTTATGTCTTATTACCACAAAATATCAAACCAATAACAATAATTAATTTCTTTCTGATACAAGAACATTGATGAGCATGTTTAATCAAAACAATACTTTGCAATTTAATCATATGGATCTAAATAGATCTAAGGATCTTAAACCTATTTTAAACACTTTTTAGTATAAATGAAATTTTAATCATTTATTATAAAATTTGGATGATAATTCTGAAACTTAAATAAATAATATATACATTTATTTCATCATTTGTTCTTATTTAGCAAAGTGAACAAAGTTAGCTGCATTCAGAACATTTGCCATTTATTTAATCTCTAATAGGTTAATATTATTAATTTAAAGGGCATCTGTTACAATAATAACCTATATCAAAATCATATTTGCAATTCAAACATGAAGGATCACAATATTTAGAACATTAGTAAGTAGAGACAAGTTAATAACCCTCTATGCATTCGACTATCATTTATTCAACTATTTAATCAAGTTTAGCTTGAAAGTAAAAATATTTATTGGGTAGGAATTTCATCATGAAACTCTGAATTCTTTATATCCATCCATCTTTCAAAATTTAAACACCTTCAATCATAATTTTAACTCCCCATCCTTTATATTAATCAGCCAAATAACATCCTCCAGTTGTAATAGAAGTTATATATCCAATCTGACAGATGATACATTTAATTTTGTATTCTGGAGATTAAATACATTATAAACAATATGGTTAATAATTTTGACAATTAATTATTTCTGGAGCTAAAGTGAAATCATCAATTTATGATAATGTACAGACTTCTTAATCATGATAAATATAAGATCTTAAACAATTTGATATTTTTGGAGTATTAAATACACAGATTCCAGCATCAAAATCAAAAATATAATTATATTCACATAATGCACATCCAATTTTAATTTCTTGATCTGAGTCAAAATTTTCAAAGTTATTGTAAAGAGTACATTTAGATAAGTCATTTGTTTAATATTCAAAACAGTATTTACAATTAAGTATTGAACATAAATTGCATTTTCTTTAGAAAGTTTGATAGTATGGAGTCAAACAAACTAATTAATTAGAATCTCCATTAATTAAAGTACAATTACCATCAATCAATTTATAAGATTGATAACATGATATACAATAAAAACCATCAATACTTTTTAAACTTTAATAACAACCAGGATATGTATCTAAAAAATAAAAAAATTGTTATTCTAAAGTGATTTAACTATTGATATCATATTCATCAACAATAAAAGAGTATGAGCTATTACATTTTTTACAATAAATCAAATCATTTTCATCAAAAAGAAAATAAACACTATAACCATACCATATATTAGTTTTAACATCACCATTTTAATTAAAGAATAAATCATTTTCACAATAGGGTTCTTTACTCCATTTACTAGGATTCTACAAACATTCTTAACAAGTGGCCACTTAATTATTAATAATAGAAGGACTAGTATATTAATTTAATATAATTTACCAACGTATGCAAAGATTTTCATATTCAAAATAACCATATTTACATTTAGGCATTATCTTTTATACACTTGATAATTCTAATCCTGAATCTAGATAAGAAATACAAGACTCTTAATCAATAGTATTAAATGGACAAACACATGCTTTGTATTCATGTAAATAAATTCTTTATTTTGTACATGATAAGCAATTATTCTATGATGGTCCATCACATTCTTAACAACTATAATGACAAATTTAATAAATATCATCTGTATCACAATTGTTGAATAAAAAGTTTCTAAATAAAATATTTAAGTAATTCATTATCTATTATTAGATATTACCATACTAAAGTTTAAATTAAGTACAAGAAAATTATTTTACTTACTCTTAGGTATTATATTCATAAATATTATAATCTTCATAAAATTTAATATTAATTATCAATTAGTCAGCAATAAGTTATATTGTTAACTTTTACCAAAGAGTTATACTATTTAAAATATCAAATTCTTTTTAAATTATTTAATGATCATTATCAGAATTATTAATTTTGACTGATGGAAATATATAACTATATGTTGTAACAATTATTTAATTGCTTAATGGAGAAATTTTGTATGATAAAGTAAATGGAGATAAGGATTTTTGAGATAATTAATTTTAGAAATTAGATGAAAGCATAAGGAATTGATAAATGAATTCATCTTAATTCTAAATAATATCAGTAATTTTCAACCATCCAGATAATAGAAATGAATTGCAATTAATATTCTCTGAAGTAAAAATTAAATTATCCAACTATTTCATAGAATTATCATTCAATCTTAATATTTTATTTAACTTACAATTACAAATATAGTATTGTTCAAAAGTTATTCTTGCCAACTCTTCTTGATCATCATCTATTGAAATCTCACCATATTCATATTCAACTTTAATCAATTTACCAGGAAAATAAGAAAATCTTGTACCTGAAGAGATTGTTTAAATCTTTGATTATTTTACTATCATGCTACCTCCAAAAATCAACTTTAAATATTAATCTTTAAAAGGTTGTTTAATTTATAATTGCTTACGAATTGTTTTCTATTAATATATAAACAATAATTCAAATCTTTCTTAAAAAGGCCATTATAAAATTTCAAAAAAATACCATATATTTTCATATTCAAAAGGATCTATATCTATTGTAAATGAATTTTGCATATCATTATTATCAATAAATGCAATTGTTTTAGAGATTTTCTTTAAAGAATCATCTATGCAATCATAATATATTAGATTAAGACTTAGGGATAATTCTTCAACTGCACTATGCAAATGGAAACAATTACTATCAAATAAACCTACACTTCCAACTTAAAGAATGCTTGTTAAAGGATTATATTTTGACCATAATCCATATCTAAAAGCACTTGAGATTTGGGTATTTCCTTACAATACAATTGATTATTAACTATATTAATATAATGAATCCATTTCTTTAACTTCCAGACTACTTAAGTAATGAACCAATAAAAGCAGAAATAAGGACATATCTAAAATTTTAGTAATAATTTATTAATCAAAAATACTTATATTTCCTTGAAATTTTTGGATTACAAATGGACTATAAATCAACATAAAGTATAATATAATTAATCCTATTAATAATTCTTTTTAGTCTTTTTTATAATAGATAAAGTCAACTCTAAATAAGTCACATTTTGACATATTTAGGACTACTCTAAAATATTAAATTCAATATTTTGAAAACTTTAATTTTAGCAAAGATTAATTGTATAAAATACATAATTATATAATTTTAAGAATTAATGAGATTTTTATTAAAAGAGTGTTCAAAGGATGATGTTAAACAATAAAAAATTTAAGAAAAAATTACATCCATGAATAATTATTATTTATTCTTATTTTCTTAAAATTAAATTAAACTGTGACTTTTCAAAATTATTTTTTCAATAAGCATTTCTTGCTTATCACATTCTAACATATAAAAAAAAATTAATTAAAACTTTGTTGGATTGTATTAAAGAGATTCGGAAAGCATCCATCAATTCATTCAATAAATAATTAAATTTATGAACATAAAATAATTGGTCAGCTCCTATTTAAAATTATAAAATAAAGCTTTGATTAATTATATTCATGATGAACAACAGCCATCAGATTTTTGCTTCTGAAAAAATATTAAAAGAACTACAAAAAAATAATTTAATTGCCCCGTTCGAATAGTTCAAAGATTTTTAAACTTAATTCTTATGAAACTACGATAAAGTTGAAAAAGAAGGAAAAGGATTAGAGGAATTATATTTGGAGGGAAATTTTGGTTTATGCAGATGATGTTTGATTAAAAAGAAACTTGTAGATGGCCTCAGCATTCATTTAAATCCATTTATTGGAACATTTAGATATATGGGTATTCATTAACATTAAGGAAGGATTTAGCAAAATCAAAAAAAGTGTTTAGATGGAGATATGGACAATTGAAGATACATTACCTTTGAATTTATAAATAAATTGTGGATATTAATCCTTTGCTTTGATTTAAAAGAAAGAAGGTTATTTTGAGTGATAGAGAACTAGTTGAGTTCAGAGTGAATATTTTTGTAAACATAATAATCATAATAATAAAGGAAGATCCTTTTTCTTTTAAAATGACGCAGCATGGCCAAGAGAATTAATTATACTAATTAAATCTAATATTAATTGTAATATAAAAAGGAATATATAAACATCATATTGGGATGGCGTATAAATTGTAAAGAGTACTAATTAAAATAGTATAAATATAGAGTTTTTTTAAAGGAAATTAAAAATTCCAAATATAAGAAGAGTTCCTTGTTAAGGTTATATTGAAATATACAGTATTTAGGGGAAAATTTGTCATTATAATAATGTTAAAATAAGTAGAGACTATATTTTGGATCATTTTTAAATCATAAAGAGATTTTGCTTGAGAAGTTTATTAAAATTGAAGATTCAGTTTAAGATGTAGAATAGTAATTTTTGATTTAAGGGATAAATGAAAAACGAGTAGACTATAGCAAATAATAGAGAAAAGATAGTTATAATAATAAATGTATAAATGAAAAAAAGTATGTATATTATCAAATTACATTATTGATATTCTAATGATCTTAATTATACATGGTAAATATATCAATTTAAATGTTTGTTAAAATAATAAATAACAAGATCTAAATTACTAAGTTTATTTTATTAGATCATCGAAAATCAAAGATTTGTCTATGTATTCTATATATATATATATAGTTTTCCTTTCGCATTGATAGAAAAAAGTTTAGATGAAAATGATTGAATAAAGAAAAAATAAAATTAGAATCATATCTTACTTCAAAAAGTAATGAAATATTATTTTTATTTCTAGTATCATTAAAATTTTTATTTCTAGATCCCATTTACAGTTAATTTATCAAAAATTATTGAGTAAAATAATTTCTTTTACTTTAATAAAATAGACCCTAGTAATTACAATCTAAAAATGGAAGAAATTAAAATACAATAAAGACTTTTATAATGTATAAAAAAATAAAGTAATTAGAAATTGAATATAAAAAATAGTGACAATTTGTGAAAAAAGAGGGCTAAATTTTTCGATATCATAGAATTGTAAATATCTAAAAGAACAAGAGAAGGAGGATATTAAATAGAGCTCCAAGTATTTTCAATTAAAGTATAAAAAGAGAGGCACAAATTTAAAAGAAGGAAATAATAAATCTAACCTCACTTTCTATTTACATAAAATAAGAGATTGTAAAAGAAGTAAGAGAACTAGAGTAGGAGCATTAATACAAGCTTTAAAACTTTGATCTCAACACCAAAAGACAGGATGAATCAATAACTCTATTTGGAAACTAATAATATTATTCCATATATTTATTAAATTTAATTATCTAATTATTGTTCTAAATAATGACCTAATTCTCAGTACTAGAAACTTTTTCTTAATTGTTATATCTTCTATTTAATTAGGCATAGTTAATATAGTATTATTTTTTTGGGGTTAGCTTTGATATAATTGATGATCTATATTAAGTAATGCTTTTGATATTTCTTTATTAAAATGATTACTTGAACTAAATAATTTCTAATAATCTCAAATTCGAATATTAGGATGAATTCTTATTGTATTCATTATAGAATACATTTGAAATAATTTAAATAGTATAATTAAGTTTAAAATATTTATTTTAAATTATTACATAATTAGCAATATATCTCAAAAATATAAATATATTTTAATTGCAAATATAGAAAAGAATTATATTTTGGAAGGCAAATAAATCAAATTGATACTTATAAGTTTAATTTTTTGCAAAAGTTTCTGCTTTTAATTTCAAATTAATTAAAATTATTAATAATTCATAAAATCACACTGAGATTGAGGGTCATTACTGGAATCTTTAGTCATACTAAAACTATTCAAGAAATTCCCTAAACTAAAAGAACTCCAGATTAAACATAAACTTAGGTTTTGTACATTAAATAAAGGTAGTAGCCATCAATTAGAAATAAATTTGAATCAATTAGTAATATTAAGATAATAAAATATTCATAAATAATTAATAATCGTTAAATTAATTAATTATTATTTTAGAAATCTATTTTTTATAAATAATTCACAATTTTAATAGCTGAATAATGAATTAAAAAAAATAAAATCTTTAGCATATTTATATTATCTATATTTGGTACTAAAATTATTGTTGGATTCAGACTTAATGAAATTTTAAATATTTATTAGAATTCGTAATTATTACATAATTTATAAATGAATATTTTGAATTCTCTTTAAATTACTAATAAAGATTATATATAAATGAGAGATATAATAATTATAACTAAGAATAATTTATTTTTAGTTATATGCATAAAAAAAATAGGTATTTTTGTAAGGAATAACTTTTATAGTTTCTCAAATATTTTTGATTGATTTAAAGAGATTCATAGTTAATTATATAAGGATAATATTATTATAATATATTATTTATTTGCTTCAATGATTTATAATCAAATAATATAAAGAATTATTTATAGAATTCAAGTAATATATAAAAATTATTATTTAATAATATATTACGTAATGTAATATTTTACAATAGAAAATTATATATTTTTGTTTGACAGGCTTGTGTAAATATTTGGAGCAATTTTTAACAAGAATAATCCTGTATTGCCAATAGAATTTAGCCAGAAAAGCTCTAGGACAAAAATTTGCTAATATTAAATATTAATAATAAAATAAAACAATTGATGTATCTAAAATGAAATTTTTTGTTTTTATAATATTCAACTTATTATTCAGCTAGCTTAATGTATTTTATTAAATTGATATTAAATGATTTTAAATTTGAATATAACATTTATAAAACATTATTATTTAAAATATATAAATGTTTACAGTTCAATTACTATTTTACTTAGTATATAGACAAATCAGATGTGAATTTAAATAGCTTTATGAGAATTTCAACGAACTCTAAATTAGTAATTTAGATAATTGGATTTGCCTTAATTCACTTAATCCAGATGTTTATAAGTGTTAATATGGAATGGATTTGATAAAGGTTGATTAGACATGTAGTTAAATTAAACATGAAATTACAGGGATTTTACCTCATTTTTAAGTGTAAATATATATCGATATATATGGTTATGGAGATTTATAAATTGAAGACAATATCGCTATTACTATAGATTAATAAAATATTTGGTAAACAGATAATACATTTTTGCCAATTTAATTACAACCATTAGGAAAATCTCATTAATGCAGAAACTATCATTCTAATAAAAACTATTAAATACGTAAGACTTTTTATAAACAGTTTGATCATAACTCAGAGAATCTAAAATTAGAATTAAAAAGTACATTATCTGCAAATTTTGAAAGTAAATCTTTTCTTTTTAGAAATTTATAAATCTTATATAATCAATGTTATAAAACATGTAAAACTTGTAATAATGATCTAATGAATTAATGTACATTATGTTACGATAATATACCTTTGATTTTTGGAACTTGTTCTTCTTGCTAATAAAAGGATGATTTAACTTTTCTATTGATTCCAAAAGGATGTGTTGTTTAATGTCCAGATGGGTATAGCTATGACAAAGATAAAGTATGCTATCAAAATTAAAGTAACAATTATTTTATTTTATTAGAATTAATAACTTATAGTAATTCATAATTAACCAAGATCAAAGAAGATTATTAAATATCTGGTAGATTGGAATAATCTGCAATATTATTAAGATTAACTCTTAAATTATAACTAATTGGCAAGAATAAATTTGTTGGTTTGAAAATAAATGGAAAGTATGTTGCTTATATAAATCGATTTTATATTTACTCAAAATTAAAATATGACTACTTGTAGAAAATGTAGAATTAAATTATACTTGAATTTAATTATCCAATTAATTCAGAATAATTTATTATTTAAATTGTTGCAAATTAGTAAAAATAAAATTTTTAAGCTCCAGAAGTTAAGATATAATATTTAGTCTGCGCCTTGAATTGTTAAAAATGTAAAAATAACAATTTTTGTGAAATTTGTAAACCACACTATTATTTATATTAAGGGGAATGTTTTAATAATTGCCCTGTGTACACTACATTATCAGATCAGACTTGTGTTGATTGTGATGAAAAAATAAATTATGATGAAAATTAAGAGGTAATAATTTTGGTAAAAGAATTTTTTGATCTTTCAACTTCTTAAGAGAGAATAAATGAATTATTTAACGTTGTAGTTAATAGCGTAGATAATTAATATAATTATAATTTTTAAAAAGGAGATGGTATTTACTTTTCATATTTTGGTAATAAAAGAATATTTGGAGGACCATTTGTATGGGTAAATGCTAAATTTTAATTTCATCTAAATCTATAAAATATTTAATAAATTGTTTATGTTAAATTTGAAGTAATTTTAGGAGATGAATAAATGAGTAGAGTGAAATTTCATTATCAAATAAATTCAGAAGTATAGAAATCACTTCAAATCGAAGAAAATAAATAATTACATTATGATTAAAATTGGTAGGATACTTATTTTATTGATGTGATATAAGTTAGAGAATATATTTAGTATGAAGATGATCATGAAAATAAATTGGAAATACTTTTCAATTGTGATAATGTATTTGAAAATGCAAATACAACATTTTGTGGAATTTAAAATCTTATTATTTCATTTTAGACTCTAAAATAAGACTAAAGTGATTCATCAGATTAGGATTACATTAGTGATGAAGATATGGAAAATATATTTGAAATATCAATATGTGGTGATGGAAAAGTTTCTTCTGATGAGGAATGTGATGATGGTAATCTAATACCTTTTGATGGATGTTTTAATTGTGAATATTCATGTAAATAATTATGTTAATTTTGTGTTAAAGGAGAATGTTTGCTTATGTTTGAATAATAATAATAAAGTTAAATATTTTAGAATACATTTATTATTTCTTAAGAATTAAATGAAAATAAATTCACTTGTATTATGATGGATTGTGAAGTTTGTATTTAAGGAATATGTTTATAATGCAAGATTGGATATTATATGAATTATATAAATAATTAATGTGAATCAAAATGTGGGGATTTAATAATTTAAGGATTAGAATAATGTGATGATGGTAATTTAGATGATTATGATGGTTGTTCAGATTGTTAATTAATTGAATATGAAAATTGTATTATGTTATAAACATGTGCAGTTTGTCATTATGATAAATGTTTAAAATGTAATGATGGATATACTTTAGAAAATAATATATGTATTTCAATTTGTGGAGATGCTTTAATCAATAAATTAGAAGAATAATGTGATAACCCAAATGAGATAGGGTGTATTAATTGTTAAATAGAAAAAGGGTATATTTGTTAAGGTTAAAGTTATTCTATTTGTAAGACATGTAGTAATTATTGTATAGATTGCTAGACTATTAATTAATAGAATCTCATTTGTAAAGATTGTATTATAGGTTACTATCCTGTTTAAGATAATTGTTTAGAATGTGATAAAAATTGTATAACTTGTAAGATTTAATCAAATTTATGTACATCATGTTATAGATCAGATTGTGAAATATGTGAATCTATTCCAGGTTATTATACTGATTTTTAAATTAAAAGATGTGTTACTTTATGTGGAGATGGAATCTTGGCTATAGAATAAGAGGAATGTGATGATGGAAATGTTGAAAATGATGATGGATGTGATTCTTAATGCAAAATTGAAATTCCTCAAAATTATATTAATGATTTATTAGTATGGCAATTCACTGGAAATACTACATATGATTTCTAACTTAAGAATTCAGAATATTAACTTTAATTAAATTGTTAAAATCCATTTATTATTATTGATGGTATTAGTACAAATGATTACTCATTTAATATTACATTAATCAATAAAATATGTAGTTTATAATTTGAATTTTTTACATCCATTTTCAAACATAATATTATACATGTAGAGTTAAGTCTTTAATTTAATCAAAATAGATTACTTAATGAAAATAATGTAAGAAGTGTAAAATTTGATATTTAACCTAATGAATAAATAATAATATCAAAAGATTAACAATAGTAAGCATAATAAATTGCTAATGTATAATAATCTTTTAATTTCTTATTTGTTATAATAATTCCAGTGTCCATAGTAACTAATCTATATGATTATTTATGGGCTGTTCTAGAAATTTTAAGCTGGGTAAATAATTTCTATTTTTTAAATGTTAATTATCCTTTTAATGTAGAAATGTTCCTTTTAAATTCAGATTGGTCATCCTTTGTTACTCTTCCTACATACTAAGGCTTAAATTAACCAGATTGCTCTTATTATTTTACAGCACCTTAAAAATTTTAAAATAAAGGAATAGATCCATTATTTTTCAATAATATTCAAATACCTTTTATATTTATACTCATCATTTTTTTAATATATGAATTCAATTTCATAATATTATTTTTCTTTAATACTCTAAATCAATTAGAAATTAAAAAATAAACTGTAAATCATAAACACTTTAGTATTTTTAATTTATAAGTTAAAAGAAAAACTTTATAAACTTAATTTTAATAACAATAATACGATAAACGAAAGACTTAGTAAACTTAGGTTTAATAGTAATAAAATGAATAAAATATACAAAATAATAGTATTATAAATTAAATAGTAGGTTATTTTATAATTATAGATAAGAAATTAAAAAATAAATTAAAATAGACTCTTTCATTGTGTATGTTAGATATTACATTAGCTATTATGCTTTAGATTACTTTTTCAAATAATAGTTCAAATATAATTGTTGGTTTGAATTAGTTTTTTGCTATTATATCTATCAATATAATTATATTTTAACTTTATCAGTCTTATTAAACACTAAATATACATATATTATTAGCAGAAAATAAATAATATAAAGAAGAATTTGAAATTTATTATGAAAATGTAAATACTAAAGAATCATTTGGATATTATTTTAAATTTTTTGGGTTGATTAGAAAAATTTTATATATCTTTTTTATGGTTCATTATTATTATTATCCAATTTTCTAAACATTATTATGTTTTGTTTCAACATCAATTGGAGTAGTATTTATTTTATATTAAAATCCTTATAATACTAAAAGGGAATTTTACACTTAATTAATTTCAGAATTCAGTTTGAGTATAATATTATTGATAGCAGTGTCATTTTCAATTAATGATACTCAATAGATTATATTTATATAACATAATAAAATTACTTTAGGTTGGATTGTTATTGCATTTGTCATTTTAGCAATCTTTATTTAAATATGTGGATTAATTTATGGATTAATGATTCATATCTATTAACTATTTTTGAAAATAAAGAATTATATTAGTAAAGATAATCATTAAATAAAAATATAATAAGAAAACATAAATAATGATCCATCATAACTAGAAGGATAATAACAAATTATTTAATTTGATAAATTATAATTAAATGAAAAGCAAGAAATCAATAGAAATTTTGAATAATTAAATGTAATTGAATAATGAATATCAATTATTTATTTACAGATCCTATAGATTTCTTATTTTCTAAGTATAAAACAATAATCAAATATATGTAAAATCTATGAGTAAAATTTGTAATCATTTCGTTTTATTAATGATTATTTTATAAGTTAAGATCTTTGAAAATACTTATAAATTTAAATAAGTTTAAACTAATTTCTCCATATTTTTAGTTTAAATGCAAAGTCTAGTTTAAAATTAATTAAATTTTATTATGTATCTAAAACTATCAACCAATTTCAAATGAGAATAATAACTTTTTACACAATCTGCAAAATAAAATTTATAAAATATTATTATCTTTATTAAAAATAGAAAATTTTAGGAATTCTATATCTTCAAATTTTGAATCTGTAACTCAAGGGGATTTTCAATATTTAACAAAAAAACAAAATTGTTTCTAATGTAAAAAAAGGTTTTTTTGATATAAAAATTTATTAAATAATTTTAAAAATATGAACTCAGATTTATAAGATATAAACGTATAAGAGGACTGCTAGTTTTCAGTTAATTTTTCTGTAATTAATTCATAAAATAGAGAAATAAATTACATTTAAGAAGGAAGCATTTTGAGAACTTAAGTATGAATTTATCAAAATTTAATAGAAGATTGAACAAAATTGTGGAGCAGAGATAACTATCAATCTAAATCAAATAAAATGCTTATAATGGTAAGGATAGAAGGGAAGTGAAAATTAAAAGGTAGGTAAATGGATACCTTATTGGAAAATGGAAGGATTACCTTTTGGAGGATTTTATGATAAATAAGGATTAAAATAAGGAATTTGGAAAGATTTGGATGAATAATTTTAAGAGTAATAATTATTATTAACTGTTATTAGTTATGCTTAAATTACATTTTGTGGAGAATATAAAGATTCAAAAAGAATTGGTCGATGGGACATAATATTTAATAATAAAATAATGTAGCTTATTATATTTGTTATTTTTTTAATAGCGGAGGAGGTTATTATGATGAAAACGGGTAGAAGAGTAGAAAATGGGTTGAATTACATTAGAACTATCTTTCTAAGAGTTTGTATTATTGTAATATTTTTCACATTGGTGAATACTCAGAAGGAAATAAAGTTGGATATTGGTTAGAATTTGAAATAAATCGTCAAATGTATAAAATATATAATTATTAAATTTAAAGGGGAGGAGGCCTATATAATTAGAATGGATTAAAAAATGGTAATTGGATGGAGTTGTGCGAATATTTTGAAAAGTATGAATATTTAATGAATCTAATTATTCAGGTAGAGTTAAGTTAAATATAATGGAAATTATGAAAATGGTAAAAAGTTGGGCATATGGTAAATTCTTTTTAAAGATCCTTATAAAAATAGAAAGTTTAAATCTATGTATAAAATTAATAATTGAAATCAATAGTGGAGGTGGAAATTACAATATAAATGGATTAAAAGAGGGTGAGTGGATTGATATAAGTGAACAATTTAATGTGTAAGTATAATTCTTATATTTGGCTAATAGATCTCATCAAATTACTTATAATGGCCAATATAAAAATAGTAAGAGATAAGGTCATTGGGATATCATGTATAAGGAAGAGGGTAGCAATTTATTTGAATAAATGTAAAATTGATAATTCCATATAAAAATAGAGGGGGTGGATCATTTGATATGAATGGGATGAAAGATGGCATTTGGGTTGAGTTAAGTAATTAATATTTTAAGTATATACTTAAATTAGAATTTTAATAGGGGAATGTTAATTACTTTTAAAGGTGAATATAAAAATGGACAAAAATGTGGTAATTGGGATATATTTTTAAAAAATATATATGCTGATGATGAAGAATTTATGTAAAAAAATAAAATAATTTAGTGGTGGTGGATTATATGATATGATGGGATTGAAAAGTGGTTACTGGATTGAATTGAATTAAGATTCTTAAAAAAGTAATTTGATTACTTTAAATGGTGAATATATTAGTGGTATAAAACATGGCGATTGGGCAACTATGTTATAAACTTTTTTATTACCGAATAAGTTTTAATAAATGTATTTAATTTAAATCATATGATAAATTAGAGGTGGTGGATCATTTAATTAATTTGGTATGAAAGATGGAAAATGGATTGAGATTAATTCCAATTTTTCGATCAGGAACTAAATTATACAAACTGGTAATTACAAAAATGGAAAAAAATGTGGTAAATGGGATAGATTGATAAAGAATCCTTAATCTAAAATGTTTGAAAAGATGTAAAGATGAAATAAATTAATAATTATAGTGGGGGTGGTTAATTTGATGTTAATGGGATAAAGTATGGTTTATGGGTGGAAATGGATGATGAGGCTAATTTGTATCTAATAAAATATTAAACTAATAGATATAATTGTATAACTAATAAAGGGGAATATATAAATGGAAAAAAAAGTGGAAATTGGATTATTTCGCATTCTGATTAGAACTTAAAATTTAAAAAGATGTATTAATAATATTATCAATTTAGTGGTGGAGGGTAGTATGATAAAAATGGTATGAAAGATGGTAAATGGATTGATATAATCAATGATTTTAAATAGTATTAGATTTAATACAAATTTTTAGGTGTAATTAAGAAATTTATAGTGGTATATATAAATAAGGATTAAAATGTGGTATTTGGGAGGAAAAATCTATAAAATAAAAAATGTAAGAATACTATTTTATTGTAGTAACAAAAAGATTATATATAATACAAAAGGACTTTAATTTGTTTGAAAATGATAAAATCAAATATTAAATTCATTTTTTATCAACAGAATGTATTTTATAATTCTCATTATCTGAAAAATACCAATTTACTTATCCAAAATTTAAACTGTAGATTTGATCACTTATTTAGAATAAAATATATATCATAATCATATATAATACTTCAAATAAAGTACTTCTATTAATCACTTGAAGTTTAATCTAATGAAATAAATTTCTATCCATTGTATCTAACTACTCGAAATTTATTCATCCAATAATCATTAGCCAAATAAATTCTATTTTCTTTATTTTAGATGATTAAAATCATATTATCTTAAATCTCTTAATTAACTAATTTAAAATGTGTTATATTAAAAATTGAAAAACTAAAATAAGTTAATTTCTTAAATAATGCCACATTAAAATCCTTATGTATTATATATTTAAACTATATAAAGAAAATGAAATTTTTGAATTCTCCTAAACTTAAAAAATATATCTTTTAAAGTTTAGGAGAATTAAATTAAATTGTATTATTGAGTAATTTATTAAGATTATTCAATTAATATTAAAAAAAACAGGTATAATAATAATAATTGTAAAACCAAAACTAGTCGCTTTTGATATTTTTCTAATTTTTTTTATTTGAAAATTTTTTCTATTTTTTTTTAACTTATATTTATTTTTTTTTGATATAATCGTTAAAATTATTAGAAAATTTTCAAATAATAATTTATTTAAAAACCAAAAAAATTATCCATATTAACTGATTTCAGCTTTCTTATTTTTTTAACTTATATCAAAATCTTAGTCCTCTTTGCTTTTGTGAAGTTTAATTTAATACAAAAGACTTAAGAAAATTCACAGGAGAATTTGAATAAGTTTCATTTATACCTTTAATTTATTCCGATTAAAAGTAAAGTAAGAATTCATATTTATGATTAAATTCTAGACTAAAATTTTCTATCTATTTATTAAAATAAATAGAGTAAAAATAATCATGAAAATAACAATGAATCTCAAATAAATAATGATAAAATATTAAGAATAATAAAATAAATTTAAATTAAAAAACTGCTTCAAATAAATTTAAGATTTGGAGAAATTCTAAAGTAAAAATTCATAAAAAAGATACAGTATATTAGTTTAAGATATTTAATGTATTGTAAAATAATAGATATTTTTGGTTGAAGATATTGGTTATAATTTCTATTTTGTAATACTATTAAAAATTATTAAATTTTATTAAATTTTTTTTAATTATTATACAAATATATAGAATTAATTTATAATAAATTGATTTTTTTATATGATTCTAAGAAAACTAAAAAATATTCATATTTTTATTTTTTGTTAAATACTATTTTTAGAGTCCAGTGAAATTAATTAATTTTCTGTTGTGATGCTAGGATTAATTATCGTAACTTTTGGTTTCTAAGATTTACTTTAATGTTTTTTCAATGCTGTTTTTAATTTCAAAATATTAGCTTTCACTCTTTAATTAGTTTCAGCTTAAGTTTTTAAAATTCTTTAGCATATACTATCATTTGATTTAAATCTATTTGGCAGAATTTACAAGATTTTTAATTTAATTTAATCTAAACTGGTTACCATTTCTTTTGAGTATGCATTCAATATATAAAGTAACATTTTAAGAAGCATAAAGATATTGATAATTATAAGAGTGAAAAATAAAACAGTTGATATATTTTAAAATTATTGCTGTTAATCCATATTTAGGCAGATTCCTAAAATCATTGAAACCCCACAAATAATTGAAGATTAATAATCTAATAAATTTAATCTAGAGGTTCTAAAAGGTATAAATTTAAGATTCAAAGACCAATAGCATAAGAGTATAAAAAATATTAAGGAGCCTTTTAATATTATAGAATCTTCATAAAATATTAAGAAGACAATAACCAATTCTTTTGTAACTATCTTTATAATCTCCCAAAAATATGTTTATGGTTTATATTCATAATAAAGATATCCAAATAAACTCTTACCTCTTTTATACTAAAGTTTATCTTTATTATAGACCAGACAAAGAAGAAAACCAAAAGGTATTATGACTCCAAATAAAGATAACATTGGAACACATAATATATAAACCCATCTTTTATGAATAGCTGTATCAAATCTATATGCAACATAGGCTTAAATCCAGGGAACATTTGCTATAGTTCTAGTAGAAACCAGAGCAATAAATGAACCAATTAGGGTTGGCTGAAAATAAATATACATGTAGATGACAGCAGTCATGATAATAGGTGATCTATATTTGACCTACTTCATAAGTATAAAGATGGCATAAAGGATACCCAGCATAAAAAAATAGATACAAGGAAGCAATAACTACCAAATCAATCTACTATAGTGGATATCTAGAGATGTCATTTAAACTATATAGTATATAACTTTACTTAATTAACAATCCATAGAATATGAAACTCTTTAAATAGGATTTCCAACTCCATTTAAGAAATAGAAAAAATTAACTGGTAAATTCAATTTAAATGAAGTTAATGAACTTATTATTTACAAATAATTTGTAAGTATTTTTATTAAAAATGGAGATTCCAAAAAGGAGTGTTATGTAGTTATAGCCCCCTTTACACTTAGAACGATAGTAAATAAAGTCCTTTAATAATAGTATACAATATATAATACCAAAGACTGAATGCTATTATTTATACTACATTAAAACTGATGTCATCACATGACCCACAAGAATATTCTTAAGCTGTTGAAAATGATCCATCTCCTCTTATATTTTCAATGTCACATAATTCACAAAGAGCTCCATAATGGCCTAAATAACAAGAATCCATTCCGTATTTCCATCCTCCTAGACAATTCTCATTATAATTATAACATTGTTCAATATAATTATTATCAAAATAAGGTCTCCAAAATCCCTAAATTATATTAGTAATATAATTACTTATTTTAAATTCAATTAAAATGAAGTGACACTTATGGTAGTCTACTCATCCCTTATATTGCATTTATTAGAATCAAGAGTGATAGAATATTATTCTAAATTATAGTCACACTCATAACAAGATTAGTCTGTGAGTGATTTAATTTCTCCAATTCTACATTTAAATGTATTTATATTAATGATTAATTGATAATTATTATGAAATTATTATATTATCTAATTAGTTTCATCATATTAAGGAATTTTAATACTGTTACAAGTAATAATTAATTATAAATAAGATTTACCAGTATTATTATTATCAAAATAAATAATCATATCATCTAAATTGTAATCATTTGTTTTTTCATTAAATATTACTGAATTTTTAGAAATATAAGTATTATTTGAGACTTATAAATAGGTTTTTGATGTTAAATTATAGACTTGAGTTTCAATATTACATTGAGTATTTTTTAAATTCTTTATTTATGTAAATTAATTGTCCAAAGCTAAAATTCTAAATTTAAATTCTTCTTATTCTAATATTTACATTTCTGAGTTGAATTTTCTATACAAACTTATAGGAGTACCACTTGGTAAATATATTATATGATTGATATTGAGAGAATTTACTTATTCTTTTAATTAGTTCATACTTTCCTCTACTTTAAAAGTTTACAAAAGGTTTTTATTATTTAAAGTTATTGATAAATGTACTGGTGCTTGAACATTATTATTACCATAATATGAAGCTCTATTATCCATTAAAATAGTTTTAGATTTATTCATATCCTAAGCTATACTATCATCAAAATACATAGCCCCAGCTACCTAAGCATAATTAGAAGAGATTTAACAATCAATTAAAAATAATTTAGATTATTTTCCAATAAAATAAATTGTACCTCCAATTCTATTTGCTGTATTATTATAAAATAAGGAATTTTTTAATTATATATTTGTATGATTAGAAAATAAACATGTTCCATAATCTGCTAAATTTCCAATGCATTCATAATTTACAATATTAATGTCATGCTTAATTTCTTATACAATTTTTTCATAATCTTGTGCTAATAATCTATTATTTATTGTAGGGATAATTTTGTTTTGATCAAAAACAATTGAATTAATATACAGACATCCAACTTTGCCACATTGATTGTTTTTAATACTTAATTTCTTTACACTTATTTAAAAATTATCCTAGTAAATTTCACTTAATTAAATAAAGATAAGTCCATTCAATGAATTGGATAAATTATTATTGATCAAACTTATTTCTGATAATTCTATGGTATGTGATTCTGTATTCAAATTTATCATTATTAAAGCTTACTAATCGATTTAAGCTGAAGAAATAAATAAAAAGTGTAAACATTCTATTTCCTTACTATAATCTTATTGAATATCAACAATTAAATTATTTTATGGTTTTTAGTTAATAACTTAACATTACATATTTTTTTAATTGTTTTTTTTTTCAATATATGAAACATTACATTATTTTTAAGGTTAAGTGAATTCTTAGACATTAATAACTGAAAAGGCTTGAATTAAAATAAAAGTATTTTAATCTAATAAATAATAATAAATTAATACTAGTCTTTGGTTACATTTGGATTAATTTCTATTTTAAAATAGTTCCATTAAGTACTTTGATTGAATTTAAATTGGCATTCTCTTAGTATAAACTCAAGAGTATAGATTCTCCAAATAGATTCTTAATAATGATATCAGATAGATAAACTATTGCATTTTCTAAGTATACAGAAACTCTTTCATTAAATTTATTCAAAATAATTTAATTTTCAACTATTTATTTGATATAATTTTAAAATGCATTATATTGATTTGAAATATAAAGTTGATTAATTGTTATACGATTAGATAAGGTATTATTCAAAAATGATGCATGAAGAACAGTACCTTTATATGAAATACATTAAGATACAGTCAAGTTTTAAAGTGTCAAATTCAAATTATCATAATCTGATTTAATATATATTAATCCTCCATAATCTTTTGAAATTATGTTATTTGCAATAATGTTTTAAATTAAAACTTAACATTCACTAGAAGGTATTTCTAAAAA